CTCTCTGCATACAGCCCATGGCTACATCCCACTGCTGTGGGACTCGTCTTTCTCCTGTGGCTGAAAAAAAAAAAAAAGTGAGCCCTCTGTGTGACTGGACCTGGAGGTCAATTCAGCAAATGTTAGCAATGTATTTTAAGATTTCTAGTAATGAGGAGTCAGTGTGGCTCACTGGGACAAAATAAATAAATAAATAGATAGATAGATAGATAGATGGATAGATAGATGGATAGATAGATGGATAGATAGATAGATAGATAGATAGATAGATAGATAGATAGATAGATAATGAGCTGTACCCACCCCAGGAACAGGAATGCTGTCTACACAAAATGACTCAGTGTTTTTATACTGATAACCATGGAATGAGAGATGACAGTGAGCTTGTAGTCATCCACGTAAAGCCATGTCTACGTGCTAATTATTGGAAAAAACACTGCATGAGAGGCATGTCAGACTAGTCTAGGCAAACATTTGACCTCCTGGAAGCACTGAGTTCGAGTTTCAGGCTGGGAGCAGTGGGAATCACTACTCACAACACAACTCCATGACTTGCTGACTTGTAAAGAGATCTTGGTGCTTGTCTTTTGCCTTGAAGTTGCCTAGCTTCACTAATTTCTGCAAACCACAAAAACAAGACCTTAGATGAAAAATGAATGACCTTGGCCCTTGAGACTTGCTACAGCAAGTAGAGATGTTGAGATGTCTACTGAAACTTAAAGGGCTTTTCCTGCTCTGACTGTGATTTGAAGTACAAGATTAATAAAACCTACTGCAACTATTCTCAGACCCGTGTAGAATTTAGAAACACTAACAGCATACACATTTTTCTGTCATCTAACATGTTGAATTCTTGCTGTCTTCATCTTGTCAGCTTCAAAGATATCTTTGTTCTATTTCAAACAAAAAAGCTGAAACTATCAAAGTTCTTCTTTCTGGGCATTAATGCCAGATAACCTGAAAAACATGTAACCTCCACCTGAGAAATCTCAATACCAGGAGAGGCATTGGGTAAGACAGCAATCCCTCCAGATGGAGGGTTGACATATGAGTACCCTATGCAGAATCCCCGATAGGTTTGACACCCCATGCCTCAAATAGAAGGGAACCCAGCATACAAAATCAAAATACTGAGTACACTGATGCGAAAGGAATGTCTGATAGGGCCAAATAGAAGGCAACAGCCCAGAGGACTAAAAGGAGGAAACAGGGCCCTTCTTCCTGGGGCTAGCAGGGACTGGGTCTGGAAAGATTGATTTTTAACGTACTATTGCCGCCCTCTAGTGCTCTGGATAAGAATCTGCCCGGCACTCCTAGCTACGAGCTGAGGTTAGGTAAAGAGTCAGTGCTGTTTTCAGAAAGGAACAGAGAGGATAGAAACAGTCAACAACATCTACAACTGAAAAGATGAAAGATAGCTCTGAGCGGGTGTTAGTCCACATAGTAATCAATTACTTCAAATTAGCTACAATAGTGCAGAGCATGCCAAAACCCTTGCCCATTTTTGTTTCCAGCAGCAACAGCCTAAAAAAACCCAAATCTTCTGCCATCCCTCTGCTGCATCAAGGCTTGCATCAAGAGTCAGACAGTTGTTGAAGATAAGGTGGCAGTGGTCAATAATGCACAACACCTAAAACCAGTCTTGACACCAAAACTGACAGACGGTACCGGGACATTCTAACGTATTATGGATATTAAATTATTTTCTGATTTTCAGGATAACTTCAGGTCAGCAGTCAGAAAATCCCTCATAGCCTCCCAAGTACCCTCCACACATCTCTACTTCTGCTGTGTTGTTTTTTGATTTCAGAAAGTTCATTACCATAAAATACATGTTAGTCTCAGAAAGGCGATAATAATCTCGTAGAAAGCAAGCAGCCTTCCCAGCATTTGCCAGATAAAGGTATGCTTTGGCTGGAGTTTAATTCCTTAGCTGGTGAAGCTCTTCTCTCCTGCCAGTCCTTTGTCCATAATTCATCATTCTGCCATGCATCTGGACAACTACAGAATCATAGAATCACTAAGATTGGAACAGACCCCCAAGATCATCCAGTCCAACTGTCCACTTACCAATAACATTTCCCCACTAAACCATGTACTTTAGTACAACATCCAAATGTTTCTTGAACACATCCAGAGACACTACCATCTCCCTGGGCAGCCCATTCCAGCAACCTGACTGCCCTTTCAGAGAAGAAATTTTTCCTAAGCGTCAGCTTCAGCTTTATAAGGAAACTCTAGCAATATGGGAAGGAAATTCAGGCCTTGTGGTCAGCTCACTGATCTGACACTCCTGTTTTGCTGAGTTCTTCCTCTAACTTGTTGAGTGATTAAGGCCAAATATCTGTAGATGATATTTATCCTGTGCTTGCAGAGTCAGTATACATTCTGTGACATCCACCAGCACTGAAATTACCTTTCCAAATGGCAGCTATTTCTCAATCCAGGGACAAACTGTAGATATATATCTCCAGCAGAGTGAAATCCAGCTTAGGAAATAATAACTGAAATAGCTGTTCAATTGTGGTGGCTGTCCACAGAGTGCTAATAAAAAGATGTAATGTGAACTGACAACAAGTTTAAAGAAAGTCTTACTACAAAAGGCTTCTGGAAATTAAATCTACTCAGTTTAGTAAAGGAAAGGGGAAGGATGTAGTAGGGAACCAGTCAGAGAAGGATCCTCAGCCACACAGAGCTACTGCAAGAAGCTGTCTGTTGCAAGAAGCAGCAACTGCATGCGTGCAGGCTAGGGACATGGCACGTATCTTTAACAGCAAGAAGCGGTCATGAGTGAGACAAATGAGTGAAGCAACAGAGTGAACTCTACTTCAGAAAGTTAGGAGTTTTTTGCAGAGGCAGCTCAAGAGCCTCTACTGAATTTGAAGAGGAAATGTAAATAGCTGTGAGATCAGTCAAAGTGATCATAACGCCTTATTCTGGACAAAAAACAAAAACAAAAACAAAAAACAAACACCCATGAGTCAGTTAACATTCAAACTTATCAGCTCTGTCTGATTGTGTGCAATATTTATTCCTCTTTATTGTACAAATGATACACAGTAAGCACTCTGTGCTACATCTCAGCGCATACAATTACTTCTTAAGATACCACTTAGCTACTCCTGCAGTAGGAAAATCAGATGCTGATTAAAATTTGCTCTTTAGAAACAAATATTCCGGGGGATGTTTCCTGTTCTGCCCTGTACGCAACAGAGCAAATAATTCTGAGTAGCCAAACAGGAAAGTAAGATCTGCCCACTAGAACTGTATGGGTATGAGTAGGGAACTGAATCACCTTTGGGCAGAGGAATGGGGCAGAGCAATGGCAACCCAACTGGGCAGGTGGCTGGGAGGGTCTTCTCTCATGCAACCCAGAAGAGAGCTTGAGAATTAACCTGAATCTCAGTCCGCTAAAGGGGGAAAACATGGGAGGTCAGTGATGAGAGCAGGGATGGCTGCAGGGGGCTAAGTCCTCCCTGTCACCAATGAGCCCAAAAAATCAAATATTCAGGGAAATGCTTGTCCTCCTGTTAATGCCTCTTCTTCCTCTCAAGTCCTCCTTTTCTCCTCTTTTTTTGTAATTTGTCTGTGGAGAAAACATTAGGGTTTCTCCTCTACTTGTAAAGCCAAAGGTGCTGGGAAGTATTCTCCTATTCTCACTACCACTAATGGTGTTTCATAGTTGAAGTGCCCTCTTCTGTGACCAAGCACTGTGAGGAAGGACAGAGATAACAGAGCCTTCTGAGTCTCTGCCAGAGCATTCAGCAGTGAACGTCTCCCAGTCGATAAAGAAATCACTGCAACTGGGAAAGACAGCAAGGGTGCTGGAGCTGAGAAGGCAGGTTACATACTGGCCATCAGCCATCCAGCCAAGACACATGCCACTGACTTTTTAATCCTGTTAAATATCCTTTAAATGTGCATCATCTCACATCTATCACTCAGTTGAGTGCACTCACTTGAGACCCACTTCAGAGAGGGCTGGTCCTTTCATGTTTGCCCAGAAGTAATCTTGGGAGTGGACACTACAGGACCTTAGAAACATGACCTCAGGGACACATTTGTTCAAGCAGGATGCAGTGAAACAACTCACAGGCCACACACAAGAAGGTCTCTTTCTGGTGAATGCTGACTGGTGTAAAGGGAGCAGGGAATAAGCTGAGAGAAAATAATTACTTTGGTATTTGCTCGTATTTGCTTCCTTAATAGTGATAGTGTTACCTTTAACCTCCTCACATCATTCCACAGCCTCTGCTGCAGTTAAATCAGGCATCCGCCTTGAAAGCTGCACAACAAATTCCCCAAACTTCCCCTCAGACCCAGGTCCACAGGGTGGGATGCAATGGAACAGATGCAAGAGACCAGGCCTCAGATTCTCTATATTTTTTCCAGAGAAGTGCTTGACTGTGCAGATCATTATTATAGGAAGGCTGAGGCAATAAGACATTCACCATATACAGGGGAAGAACATGAGCTAGGAGCATGAACTGGATATATTGCATCAGCTTGTTGTGAAATTCAGCATTTTTTTTTGTTTTTGTGGTTTGCATGCTATGGTCTCTGGCCCTCTGTCTGTCTTCCATCACCACTTACAATCGCACGCCTTGGTGCCTGCAGCCATCATTCTCATGGGCTGTGGTAAGAAGAAAACACACAAGTCATAAGCATACTTCCTCAAGAGAAGGAAGTGTCCTCACTGTCCACATTTTTGCTGAAGCTCTTTCACTGGTAGAAGAAAAAGGAAATCAGACTACCATCAAGGGTCTAAAATAGTTGTCCTTTCCCATTCTGTATTTCATATGAAACATGAAGGACACTTTAACACCAATCTTATTTGAAACTCACACGAGTGACAGAAATAACTGTATTTTCTCAATGTACAGGAGCTTCATTTCTCTACACAACACCTTATCTTCCTTATATAAGCCTTATATTCCTAACAAGTTCTCCAAAACATAGAGCATTAAAAAGTGAGTTAAGAAATAAAAGCTAGATTTTCTTATTCAGTTCTGTTTTATTAGCATAAGCAGCTTTCTCATATATTTAAAAAACAAATAACAAAACAAACACTGCAGGCTTACACCACTAGTACAAAAAAATCTGGGAAAAATGCAGAAGTGTTATTAATTAAACTACTGCTTTTAGATTTCCCAAACCTCACTTTTCCCTTTTATCTATGTGACTCCTAACCTTAAGCCAAAGCCCAGATACTTGAGCCTAATCATCTCTGAGTATAACAGTCACAACTCGGACGTCTCTAAGGTGGAACAGATTATACTTAATTGGTCAAATCCAAGGATCCTTCTTAGAAGCCATTATTAGACCTTTCTCCATAACCTTTATAGAAAGTAGAATTTCTTCCCTCCCAGAACAAAAGAAGCTGCCCACAATGCCCAGCCTTCTCAGCAACGAAGCTGAGAATACCACTAAGTCTGTACTTGTTACTGTGCCAAGCAAAACATTTGCCATGCATATCAGTGACAGAGAACTCTTCTGGCAGATGCTGAAACAAACCTTACTAGTTTTATGTAGAAAATATATAGGTACATATAGATAAAATAATTCATTTCCTATAAACCAGATTTTCTCATTTTAGATGAGAAAAGTGACTTCGCTACAAGAAGGTGATAAAAACTCTTGTCTGTGTTACAAAAATGCTCTGCTTTTACCTTCATCCTGACTGGGGCATTCAAAGTTGTAGTGAAAATATGTAATGTAAGTTTTTAAATCAGTTTATGAACAACACACAAACTTGAAAGACTATGAATTCAAGTCATGAGCATCATCTATTAAAAATAGGAAGGATTTAAAAGACCTGTTTATTGCTCCTGATACTATTTTCATTGAATCAGATGAGCGAAATGAGGAATGTGAAGACACCCATCTTCATTCAGTACCTTTTCACTGCTATGTCCAATTCTCACACACAGCGTGGCAGTACTCAGCTTGAAAGCAGTGTAATTTCTGTGATTTCTTTGTTTTGATTGGGAAAGGGAAAGCTAACACTAATGCAGGTATTGATTCCAAGAGTAGTATAAAAATCTTGGTGATATAAGCTTGTAAAAAATTTGACCTAAGGAGTCGCCAGCTAAACTGTGTGCAAGATTTGCCATAGTTAAATTTGCTTTGAAAGCCAAAATAGAGTATGGGTCAGCTCCGATGGAGAGGGCGTTTGTTATTTTACAAATTTCTGAAAGGTCTCTAATGTGAACCATATGTAACAGGAAAACATGCACTGGGTTTATACTCTGCTGAGCTCTCCTTGCTGCTCAAACAGCAACACTGTTGGGAATGCGATTTGGGGACAGGTAGTAGTAAGGGAGCTTTTTGTTCTTGTTGCGCTCAGTGATGGCGCTGACGATCCCATCCAGATTCTTGCGGAATTTTGCCATCGCCTCTTTCACCGGCTTCTCCACAAAATGTTCATCCGGATACACGCCCAGAAACAGCTAGTTGAAAAAAACACCAAGAAATCATGCTTTGAGATTTAAAAAAAAAAAAAAAGGCTGGTCTGTCTCAATGCTATGCCATCCAGCAGAACAACACCCTAAGCTTTAGGAGTGCTACTATTATGCCCAATCAACATTTAAGCTAGCACTTAAGACTAGCACTGCCAGTGAAAGATGTGTCCCACCCACCCTCCATCCCTGGCTGCTGCTCCTCATCCATGGATGCTCAAGTGAAACACAGCACTACAACCACATGAGTCAGTGTGGTCCTGCCATAGCTCTCGTTATCTCCCTACATCCCCCACCTCCTGCAGAAAGGTCAACTTACTTCATTGTCCTGGAACTGACTCAAGGCCCAGACAGCTCCCAGATGCCAACAAGAACGCCCTCTGTCTGGCAGACTCTCCACAATCTGCTCGATGGTGACTGTCCCCTTTTCTATTGGAGGAGGGCAGCGCATTGTCGGTGGGGCATTGGGAATCCAGGAGCACCAGTCATACTGCACAAGGCAAGAAAGCACAGTGAAAAGCTACAGTGGTAGGTATTCAGGAACGCTTCAAAGGAAATGATGAAATTTGGCACTGGGGAGTCTGTTTCTGTAATAGGAGTTCCTCAGAATGAGAAGATACTAACAAAACTGAAGGACAGAGAGACGTTCTTGTGAAGCACTGAAGGAGGTAAGAAAGTCCCTACTATCTTTCCCAGAAGGATCTCACAAGGGAGAGAGTGGGGTCACCTCCATAGGAGCAGTTATTCTGCTGACCACAGACCCAGATTCACTGGTCAGGCAAAGAATTTAGCTATTTTAATAAACAAAGATCTCTTCAAAGTTTGAGGTTATCTTTGATAAAACCACTAAAACGGGTAAAATTTCCTTTTCTCCAATTGCTCTATTCTGCAAAACCTGCTCTAAGAACATGCCCTCAGTGCTGTGGTAAACAAGCTCACAGTTTTTATTGCGTTTGGAGGATATGTTTGCTGTTCTCCAGTCATACTGCATCATTTTTAAATCATCAGATTTGGTGATGTTCTGTTATCGGGGTTGTGATTCCCTATGCCAGATCTCTAAGCTTGCACGTGCACTTTTTGCTGGGCATTGTCAAAGGCCTCTATGGCTCTGATACCCCAACAGGCACCCACCAGTGCAAGCCATGGCCACCTGCTAGCATTTCCTTGCCAGGCTGCTGGGTAAAGGTGGTAGGAGAGGCAGCTGATGGCCAATATGCCATGTACATGTGGCTGTGGTGAGCACCGGACTGGGAACACAGAGATATAGTGGAGGTCCTGTCCCTGGAGACATCCAAAGTCAGGCTGGATGGGGCTCTGAGCACCTTATTGAGCTGTAGGTGTCCCTGTTTATTGCAGGGGAGTTGGACTGGATGGTCTCTAAGGGTCCCTTCCAATTAAAACAATTCTAACTCAGAATCACTTCTGGGATACCTCAGTGCTGCAGGATGGTGATGCCTCATCTTGCCTCAGTTACCATCCTGAGTTTTGCCACCATCTGAAATGCTGCAATTACCATTAACCTTCCTTTTCAAAGTAGTTTTTCTTTATATATGTCCACATATCCTGCCTGATGGATACCTACTAGACACCACAGAGGATCGGGAGCCCATCCTACTGGCTTTAATACAATTTCCCCTTGTAGCAGCTTATCTATGCCACCTCAGAAAGCAGAAGTACAACTCCCACAGACATGTGTAAGGCAATTTTCAACTTTGGTAAATGCTCCAGCAGGCCAGCTAGATTGCTGTACTGCTGGGACTGAACAGCTGAAACACCCAGCTGAGTCAACTCAAAGACAGACAGCGTATACAGCTACATGTGCTGCAGTCATAGCACCGAGCTGTATATGTTCCCTAAGCCACATCTGAAGATGGGATATATGCTGCTTTGGCACAAACATACTGCCAGATTTGCACAGCTTACATCAGCAGTTCTTGGTAATCACCCATGTGCCCATTTGCAGCAAATACAAAGCAAAGCCTCTTAGCATAACTCATTGCATTTTGTTGCAGAATGAGCCACAGACAACCAGCATGTATTCAGACAGTTCAGGTGATGTCTGGAAGGCATGGGGCTGTGGTATCCAGACTATGTACCTGATCCATTCAGCATTTCCAAAATGGATTTTAGTAACCCGTTTAAATGCTTTAAAACAGAATTTTTCCCCATGACAAAATGAATGAAACCAAAATATACAAGGTATAACTCCCAAACCCGCGTTTCAGTACCTATCTAGTACTCAAAATTATTCCAAATATTTCCAAAATCAGTGTTTCCACAGTCCTCATGGGGATTTGCAGACGACACTGCAGTTCAGCCAGAAAGAGCAATGTAATGTCTGCTTATCTATCCAACAGCACTTCTCAGACTGTGCCCTGGTAGGTGCATCTCCCAGCCCAAAGGGATGAACAGTCTTCCCAGAAGTTCCTACCTGGCCAAAATTCACAGCTGCGTGCTGGGCTGATGTGGTGAATATTATCACTGTGAGATATTCTGCTAGTTTCTCCCGTGTCTTGATCACCTTAGGAAACCCTGAATGAGGGAGAAGAAAAGAATAAGTAACCCAGCCATGAAACAACACAGTTACCCAGTAGTCATTGGTTGAAGGTGTGAATTGGAGGACCATGCAACAGCCAAAGAGCAGGACATTCTCCTTCCAACTCTGTTACTGGTTCTGCCATGTGCTCTAACAGCAGTTAATCAAGCTCTGTATCTTGGCTGTCCAGCCATAAAAGCAGAGTGATCCTGCCTTTACCTCATACAGATTTGTGAGGCATCATCATTGTCTGCAAAAAGCAGGTGGCGTTCCTTAGGAGAAAGGCAAAGCATAATTATACCTTTAAAATATATGACATCTCTGTCCTCACACCTACCCTGTGGCAAGGAACCCAGAGAGTCCCTTTTTCTTCCTTCTGCAATGCAAGCAGAGAAATTTCACGCCAAAGAGCAAATGGCTGTCTGCTTGTATTTATAAATGTCTGAGGCTCAGCAATCAAGTGCGCTGTGGGAACAAGTGCGGGGAGAGCTTATATGCTGAAACAATAAGTGAGGAAATGAGAACTTCTGAAACAAAAACAGCAGAATGAGGAACAGAAATAGTTGAATCAAGCAGTCTTTGAGGGGGAGTAATCAAACAGAGCTATTTAAAGAAAGAACAGAATAGTCAGGGATAGGGGAAATATTTTGTCACCAAAGCACATTTAAGCCTGCATCTTTCCTGCCCCAACATTAATCCTGCCCTGTCCCTGTCCCATCCCAGCACGATGACAGGTCCCATGATAACTAGAGATCTGACAGCTCCTTGGGATGAGCTGTCTCTGAGCCAGCTGCTGCCATGTCTGCACCATGAACCTGCTGCAGATGCAAATTCAACCTGGCAGGGGCAAGAAGACATGGTAGCTCTGGTCAGGTACCAAGCCCAAAGAGGAGAGGATACACACCCATTCCTGCACCCTCCTGTCCTCAGCGCACTGTGCTCATCTTGTAAAGGATCTCAGCATGCTCATGGTCAGAGCAGTGCTACCACGGCAGGAGTGGAGGCCAGCTGTCCCCCACTTGTGCCCTTCCTATTCTTTACAGACCCAGGTCGTCCTACTTGCTCTGCCTCAGCCCTTGTGGTGGCAGCAGTGCAGAAAGGTGACGCTGCAGGCTGGGCAGGTTTTCAGCCCATAGGGGCAGTCCATAAAACTGAGTCTGAGGGCCAAGAAGGGAGGGGGTCACCAACAGTTCAAGATGTACAATGCACACAGCCTTGCCATCACTAGAGATCTGGGAAGCTGCAGATCTGGCCAGGCCATCATACCTTACCTGAGGCCTTCACGCCCCTCATCCCATACATGTAAATGTCTTTGACAAAGGCCTGGAGTTCCACATCCTCACACACCACCTCATCGCTCTCGTAGTAGATTTGAATCACATCCTCTGCAAAACTGCAGACAGAGGAACAAATGAAAAAAAAAAAAAAAAACAACAACAAAAAAGCAGAAAGAAATCCTACTGAAGACCTTATGCTGAGCTTACAGAGAGGATACACCTTGCGAGGAAGAGTGGGGCCAAGAGCAGAGCTCAACACCCTCCATCAAGTGGTGGGAATCCAATTATTTCTAACTGCAGTATCACTGCTCCACCATCAGAAGTATGTTGGACCGCAGTCATAGAAACATAGAATATCCCAAGTTGGAAGGGACCTAAAAGGACAGGCTGGGGATAGAAGTCATTTCATCAAGGAGCAGATACTAACACCCCTTCAGAGAAAAGTAGGCTGTGGTTACACGCATGTGAGTGGGCTCAGGTGTGAGAACAGCCAGTGCTCAGAAGGTCACTGCTCACACTATTTATAAACTAGGTACTTACAGTGAATCTCTCAGCCAAGTCTGAGGCTGTGTAATATCCTCCTCCAGCTAACACTGACAAAGAGCTAAACTAAATTGAGTTTACTATCTGGTATTTGAAAAGATATCCTATCTCAATTAGCACAAGAAAGAATAGGAAAGAAAACAAGGGCAGGAACAAGCACACGGGCAGGGAAACTATATCAAGAAACCACAGAAAAGTAAAAATTTCCTTTTCTCTCAAATGGGCACTAACAATTGTAGGAAATATGGAAAGATATTCCCTGTGCTGAAATCACAGGAGGCAAAGATATAAACAACATTCTAAACATTAGTCTTGTGTTATAAACACCCAAGAGTGAAGAGCTTCACTCTCGCAAGACCTCTCCAGGCACAAACTTGCTGCCCTTCTTCAAAATCTGGTCCTTGCAATTTTAAGGCACTTGAAGAAAGGTTTGGTTCAAATCAGTTAGTACTTCAGTTTCCTGGGCTTCAAAACACAGCTCTCTCATGTGAACCACGTTTAACATTTCTGCTTCCACAAGAAACCCAATGAGCTCACATGGGTTGCTCAGGCTGCTGCATTCTTTCTCAGTTTGTGCATAGCTTAAAAAGCTAATTAAATTCCCTTTGCAGGGCTAAATTCATAGAATCGTTTGAGTTGAAAGGGCCCATTAAAGGTCTGGACCAACTCCCCTACATTGAACAGGGACAATTACAGTGAAATCCTACAGATGAATACATACTCATACAGGGGCTTCTGAAATGTAGAATGCAAGAATATAGGCCTGTAAAGGGCAGGAATCAAACATCTCTGACTAGGAAACTGAGCAGGAGCTGAGAGTTAGTAACCGTTCTTCAAGATGGGTTCACAACACTCTCCTTCACCCATGTCATAGCATTCATTCCCTGTGCTAGGACAGGATCATTTCAATCTATGATACTTGAAATTATTTCTTTTAAATGGTAGCCCCCATTGAACCACAGGACTCCACTGGCTCTCAAAATGATCTGTTCTATCTATCTAATGGTAATTTGACTATAGTCTACCCCAAATCTTTCTTACTGTAATTTTAGCCTTCAATTTCTTGAAGTCCCAAGCTGTATTCACAAGAATGTGATGTAGAGCAGAGACAAAATGGAGAGGTATCTCTGGGACAAAGACTTCATTGCCCCTTTCCAGGACTACAGCCTTTTACCTCTTTATTGCCTCCCAAACTCTAATGCCATCATCTCGGTAATAGTAGTAGGGGATATCCTCTTTGCTGTCCATCCCCTTAGCTTTGATATCTTCAGGGAAGCAGAGTGAGCTGTAAGTCAGATCCTTCATTGCTTTCAGAACCATTTGCACGTGTCCTCCTCCACCTGTGGCATTTGCCTGCAGGAACAACAGCAAGATATGAGCAGTGGGAGATAAATTAGGCTCACTTTGTGCCAAGGCTGGTTGTCCAAATTTCCAGGAGATGTGTTATTACAAGTAGAAGAAAGTGCATCTCCACACAAATAAGTACCGAACTGCAGAGGTCTACTGCAGTTCTGCATTTTGACCTCACAGTTTTCACATCTTTTCCACAAACCACATATAACAGATAACAGATCCATTTTCTCCACAGGCACATCTAATGTATCACCTTAAAATAATATAATGAAACAGTAATAAAGTATAGAAGTACTGAACCCAGAGCACTTTCTGCCAGCTCCATGCTCCAGAATGAGTGCATGTGTGAAGGAAGGCAGCCAGGAGTGTGTCAGACCAGAGCTTTTGCTAAACCACCAAGTGGTGCTGCAGAGTGGTTTAGGATTAATGGCAAGTGGCGGTTAGGATTGGAGGCTACTCTTAGGCACCCTGAGATTTAAGCCAGGACAACAATCCTGCTGGGTGTTTGAGTGGGAAAACACAGCATGCTCACAACAAACAACACTGCAAAATCCTTTATATAATCACTGCTCAGAAGCTCCCAAATTTTTCTTTGTGGTGTTAGCAGTGTAGCAGTATGCAGCTTACACTTACTCTCTTCTGTCTGGCTGTACATTTATACTGAAACCAACAATTCTGGAACTTCACGATCCTCATTAGTAGGTCTTAGCAGCACACTCAACCCACATGCATGGGGTACAGATGCTGTCCTTCCACTCAGTTGATGTCAGGAGTGTCTGCCAAGCCTCCACAGTTAGCAGAGGAGCACAGAAGACAAGGAAAGAATCTGCAATTAACTTCTTTTTCTATGTAGGCAGAAAAACTTTGGAGCACGGAAGCTTTTTTTTTTTTTTTTTTTTTTTCCCTGGTGCCAGAGGTATGTCAGGAACTTGCCCTGGTTGCAGCTAGCACATTTCCACAGAGAGGGCTGCTTGCCAACCTGTTGCGGTTCTTAGATGTGGCATGCTGTTTCTGGGGTAGCAAGGAGATGAAGAGCTGTTATCACAGTAAACACTATTACAGTTGGGTTTAGATGTTTGTATATCATACAGCTCTGAACTGGTTACTTAGAGGTGAAAGATACCATCTTCAGCACAACAGGAAGTGAATTAACTGAAGGCATCATTTCTGTGTCTCAGGCGATGCTGTTTATGTTTGTGCTTTAGCTGAAAGTCAAGAAATAACACAGTATGTGATGGATAAAGAATTAAAACACATAGGGACCCATGAAAAATAACAAGATTTGCAAAGGGAATTACTTACCTTGTCAAAAAGGCCACATTCACAGATGAGCTGTTCTCGAGCTTTGGTGTTGATGGCTATTGTGAATCGCATGTGTGGCACCAACAGCTGTGAAATACGACAAACAAAGGTAGAGGACAAATTCTTTGATTGAATTCAACCGTGTGCAGAGTTTGAAGTCCTCGATGAGAGCAGCTAGCTCTACATTGCCTTGCCAGGCAGCTGGTCAAACCATCCCAATCGAGCTACCACCAGGATGTACTTCTGATTTGTCAAGCCAAAAAGAAAACCTTACTGACTCCCCCAGAACCTCTTCACAGAAAGACCAACCTTGAAGAGGGGATGTACAGCAGGCAGCTGCCGGAACATGGCAATGCTGAACACCTCTGAGACAAGGTGTGTCCGTAAGAGATGGGTCACTGTCTGGTGGATGTGGAAATCAGATGAGCGAACCCAAATTTTGGCCAGCAGCCAGTCATAGGTGGCATCTGAAGGAAGGAAAATGGGATTTTCTGGCCCAGGCTTTTGACCAAGCTGAAAGAGATGGAAACAGTACAATCCCCAAGTTCATGTGCGTTTACGATGAGACAATAAGCAATGTGACCCTTTATACACTCTGACAGCAAGCTCACCTGGATTGCAATGGGTACTATTTTATTCTCCAGATTCTTGTACAGCAAACAGATGGGTGCAGCCAAGTACTGTATTGTACATGGGTCTGTCTTATTGGCATCCACGCCATCCAGCAGTTCATAGTCCACAATGAAAATGTTTCCTTGCTGGTAAAAAAGTGAAAAGGATTTGGTGTGTTTTAACAGAAAGAGGGAGAAATGAAAGAACACAGCAAACTGTTCCTGGTGGGAAGGACAGAAAAAGGACAGGGCAGCATCTGAAAGGTAGATGAGAGAGGAAGAAGACAGCACTGAGAGAGGTTAAGAAAGAAAAGCAGAAAGGCGCAAACAGTGAGGCTCAGAACTAAGGCTGGGGAGCCTGGGCCAGGGGCTGGTTCATGCCCTGCAGTTACAGGTAGCTGCTAGCCCACCTTTGCTCATGGAGGCTCAGGAGTGATGTTTGCTATTGGGACAGCAAGCACCTCTACACAAGCTACCTGACTTGTGTCTGCTGACCCTGACAGCAAACCTCTCAGCAGAGAGCGACTGTGTATTTGGCATTCATGCAGTGACACTGAGGTGCAAACAAGTTTCACATTATTCCACACCCCATGCTCATTGTACAGACAAAAGGAATGTACCATCCTCCTAGTCCTTCAGCATTTTAGTTCAGCTTTGTGGGTGACCCTCCTGGGAAAGGGTAGGATGCTTCGCGCTTCTGACACTCCCTATCCTTTGAGACGAAAGCACTGTGAAGGACCCTTCACCTCCTGGTGGCATCCTTTTAACTGGACCTGGAAAAGGGCCTGGCCTGCAGCTGGAGTGTGGAGATGTGGCTGAAATGTAGCTAGAACAGGGAGTGGAGGTCAGAGAACACAAGGAAGAGCAGACGGAGTCCAATCTCACCCCAAGCCCTACCTTCACTTCTTCCTCCAGGGTCAAGTTCCTCTCCAGGCTGCATTCTACCATATCACTGGTCACTGGCAATTTCTTGGGAATCTCTGTGCATCGCCGTATCAGCACAGGATTGCAGCCATTCAGGAACTGGTAGCCAAACATAAAATCTTCTTTCCAGTGCTGCATCACATATTCTAAAGGAAAACAAGTCAGCAGCATCAATATCACTGTATTTCAGATTCCTTTATTTATCCCCCACTCCTTTTGTTACACTGCACTGAAACATTCAACTTCTATGAAAAATATGCTCTCCATCTGCAGACCACCTCCTTATGTCTTCCATGATATTCTTCAATCTTAGTATCCAAATTCTTGGGGTTTGTTATACAGACAGTTAAGCCCCAAAACAATGGCACAGGCAGGGAAAGGGAAATACCCAAGGGGGAAGGGAAAAAACAGCAGTGACTGAAGCTGGGTGAGAGGTACCTGGGGAACGATGTTGACTTTGGGCTTCTCACTAACATTGCTCATTGGCTGGGTTGTTTTTGTTTTTTTTTTTCCCCTGCTCATTTTTCAATTGTTAATACAAAGCAGATTAATAACTCTTTTGAATAAAACAATAGTGTTGGAGACTCCATCTCCTTATTACATCTTTGGTAGTACTGTGTGCTTTCCACATTGCAGTTCTCTGCTTCTTAATGTCATTATGGTCACTTCAAACTGCAAGCTGAGAGTCAGAAAACACATGATTAAAAACAAAATCCCACTGATGCTGACAGGGAAGCTGCATGACTGAAAAACGTGAACTTGCTTCTGCCAAGTCTTGCCAATAATCAGATTAAGAGGTGCTCTCACAGCTGAGATCCATTCTTATAGTTTAAAACTCACAGAATTGGAGCTTTCCTCATGGGTATGGAAATATTATCAATGAAATTAAATGTAGATTATATCTAATCCTTGTACTTTAGGAAGAAATCTTATTAAACTTAACAAATTGATGCAATTAGTTTTTAATAGCTTCAGCCTCCTTACGTGCTTTACTTTATACTTGAAATCATAGAAGTGCCTCCTATTTCTGTTAATTGGTCCTTTAGTCAGCCTGAAGAGGGGAGAAACTTCAGAACAGGAAGGAAAAGCATGTTCCTTTGCAGAGCCAGAATGAGTAAATCTACACATGCTTTAGGAGCTACATGCTAACTGAATAATAGCATCTGTGTATCTATTATATCCATTACTACAGTAAAATAATATCAAATAATACAACTGCAGGCTGTAGTAGCAAGCTAGGTCTGGCTCACAAATCAAAGGCTTCCCAGCCCCACTTTACAGAAATGACTCCATCACCCCATCTCCATCTGCAACTCTTTTACCTGGCTTTCAAATAACTACTAGGATTTCACACAAAAAAAAAATTAAGGAAATAAGAATTTTGTCTTTGTCTTTTAATACTACGTGAGTGGAATTTTTATCAGTACAAAGGATTTTCCAGATACTTATATTTGAAAGCAAAAAAGTAAACACAGACTCTTACAGATATATATCTATTCCTGGTAAGATGTGAGCACGGAATGGTAAACATATCACCATGTTTACTATGGTGTGCATAATAAATTCCAACATGTTTTTGGAAAGAGATGACATTTGGGATAGATGCTGCGAGCCCTTTCAAGCACTAACTTGCACTCATTCCCAGCAGGAATTACAGTTCCTCTGGTTCTGGTCAGATGGACTATTTTGTGCACCAGGACCAGGTGAAGAAGTTACAGCTCCCAGCTCATTCTCTGCCCTTTGCAACATGCCTCCAGACTTACTGGCTTGACAGCTTGCAAGTTTTGTCAAAACGACTCATTGGAACAACTTGTGAAACCAAAAAGATCCAAGCCATGGGCAGACAGTTGGAACTGGAAGGTTTTTAAGGTCCCTTCCATTCTAAGCCATTCTATGTTTCTATCATAACTTTGCTTGGTAGTCCTGTGGGTTGTTGTACGATCAGCAGTCTAAGATTACTTGCTGTTTATGGTAAATGACGTTCAAGCAGAAGTGTAGGTCAGCCTCTTCCTTCCTAATCAGATATATTCAAGACAGAAAATCGATCATTTGATGATGAAAATGTGAGAAAATGCTGACAAACTCACCAGAGATTGTGTTACTGATTCTCACAAAGATCTTCTCAAAATCTGCAAAGTCACTCCAGGAAGACTGGAACATGTGCATAAAACGGTTGATATAGAGATTCTCCATCCTAAAAACAAAGCCTTACGCTGTGACATAAATGGTAGCTTTGTTGTTATTAAATAGAAAACATTTATTTTGATTACATGTCAGTGGATTTAGAATCAGGTTTTCTTTCCACTAGCATCTTCAAATGTGCAAAGAAGAAGACATGCACTGCACGAAGATGGGGAGAACAGTTAAGAGAGCAAAGAAAGACCACAGTGTTGCAGCAAATCCTCCTGGAGGAGGGGAAGGGGGAGAATTCTATGCAGATGTAGATGAAGATGCAGTTGTAAATTATAAACTAAGACTGAGAAACCTTAAAATGAACTGGATTGGAAGTGGTCAAAGAGGACAAGAAGCCCGCAAAGACAGCAAGTGGCATTGTGAAAGAGGATTCCCATCAGCATAACCAGAAAATCAGACAAGGGACATGTAGAAAGGCTGCTTCTGCTGCTACAGATAGCAGTCAAGATAAGAAGAGGTGCCTGGAGGCACGTTAGGAAGCATCTTGTGCAATTATCTAGCCTGGGCCTGGAAGCAACCTCTTTGGAGATCTCATCACCCCTGACAGGAGCACAGAAGGAGCTCTGAATGGCCTTTCCTGAATATCAGGAGATGGAAGGAGTATTGGGCAGGACTTCCTGGACAGACGGCAAGTATCTAAATATCAGATGAACTTCTAAAAGAAGCATGACCACGTAGGTTTTCAGCCATGTCAGGTCACTAAATGGACTCAGATAAGAAAGTATTCACTGTTATTAGGAATGGCTGTAAAACCTGCTAGTTCTCTTATCAACCTATGTTTGACGATATAATCCCCATCTGATCACTGAAACACTGAGAGGCATATCATTCCAAAATACGGAGGGACCAGCATGTTATCAGAGTCACAGATGTAGGAACTGTGGATGATCTCAAAGCAGCCTTGCCTCACCTTGCCTTTTTCCCCACCATTTGATAAAGTATGACATGGCTCAGCCTTGTGAGACAGCTCAGAAGCAGACTCACAGTGCAGACATTTCCTGTTCTCCCATTAACTTCATACTGTCCTGCTGGGCAGGATTTTTCAGGCTCACCAATGGCCAGGACTGTTTTTTCAGTGACATGACAAGTTCAGGTGTGATAGTGACTTTGATGCCTGGAGCGGATTACTCTCAGGTGTGGTTAAGTGATGACTTAAGCCTACATCTGATGGGAATAGCTTTTCTTCAGCAGAGTCTCAAAGGTGCATTGACACCACCTTTTGGTACCTGATTGAAAGGCCTAATTTTCTCAAACAGCCAGAGGAGAGAAGCATCTTCAGGGGGCATCACTGAGCAAAGCCAGATGCCTAAGGCAGTAGGTGTCAATAACTCCTTCGCATGCTTTTCAGAAGTCTTTCCTCATTCTGCCTACAGCCAAACAGTGTCTAATGAGAATGCAGAGGAGCAGCAAGTTCCAAGAGTAAAGAGCTCAAAACATCAATTAAAACAAAAAAAAAGTTGTGGTTTTTTTTTTTTTTTTCCCTGCTTTGTTTAACCACAGGTGCAGATGGGAGAAAAGAATCCAATTCTGAGATTCAGTGAAACCTACAACATGGTCACATCCTTACTCTGCACAAAAAAAGTTTTTGCAAAATGCCTGAAGCACCACAAACACTCACGCTTTGGAGTAGTTCAGAATGAAGTCGATTCCTTTCTCGTTGTCAAACTGGATGTCACGGGGCAGCTCGCTGTGACAATGGGCATCAATGCTCAATGGAAAGCCAGGATGCCACTCCTTCCAGCTGAGAAAAGAGAAGTTGGATTAACCATATCAGTTCACCAGCACAAGAGCTCCATCATTCTATTACCTATGCTGCTGCTGTGACTCAGTCATAAAGAAAACTTGCATCACTTGGGACCCACAGGACTCACTTAGGACAAAAATACTGACTTATACTACAATAATACCTACCAGTAACCTAAAGAAACATGAAGTAGAACAGAAGGCATCTAACTTGACCAACTACCATCACAAAACTTGACGTATCTTAATACCTGCGATATTTCCAAATGCCTGTCACAATCGGTTAGAATTGGCAGTAACTACAAATTCACTGGGAAGTGAAATGGGCAGAAAGACAGCTGTACAATGCACACTGTTTGGTCACATCAACCTCATTCTTGAGGCTACAGTTTTGCAGAACTAAAACACAGCCATAACTGGGTGAAAAAAACAGCCTGAGATTTGGAGTAAGCAGCAATGTGATATCATTTTGTTCGCCATATTTGTGCAATGGACAGAGAGAGGAACATAGGTTTTGTAAGTGACTTGCACCCTCTCACGAGTTCTGCTGTACAAAGGCATGCTCAGACAGCCACCAACCTAAGGTAAGAATGCTCTACCCAATTGGCACTGCAGAAGTCACTGGGCAGGAAAACCATCTGTCTCACATTTGCAAAAAATACTGTGAAATTACTAGCAGCTCGAAGTGTCAGGCATGTGTCTCATTTCCTCCAAAAGGCAATGCTACTAGAGGTGCACACAGCCTGGGCTCAGCTCCTGAGCCTGCCTCCTGATGGCCATGGTACTAGACCTCTGCTGTGTATGATGTCCTACTGTACCCTGTTTTTACCTCAAAAGAAAAGAAGACAATTTGTAATGGGGAATATTTCAGCAGTGTTTCCAAATTGTCTGCCGCACACAGACTGCATTGTGCACTATCAGTTAAACATCTGAATTGCAAATCGCTATTTTCCTGGAATTACCAATGGTTTTGCCTTCGTTTTTGCATGTGTAAACAAGATTTTGTGCCACCTATCTTTTTTATCTAGATTTTCCTCTGCTGCTTCCCATTATTTGTGATCAAGATCCTTTCTTAGTCAAATCATATCAACAACACATATGCCAAACCTCAATCTGTCAGTTCTGAATGAAACCTCTGTTATTTTCATGCTCTTTCTCCTGATAAGAAGAGGGAAATAAGATAAACTTTCCTTCTTTTAACAGAAAGTATGTTCCTATAAAAAGGAAACGTATGACATCTTCTGGAATTACCCACTGATAAAAGATTTTCCTATTGTGACCTTCTCTTATTTAGAAAAAAGCTTATAACTCTATAGAGATAGATAACACCACTGTGTTTTGATGGTACATTCCAGTCTGCTCAGCAAGGTCAGATCTTCCACTGCACCCTGGTTCAAGAAGTGACTAAAACTCACTAGAGCAGCCACAAAGCTCCAGATAAGATGACGTGTTGATATCACTCTCCAAAACTGGAGTCCTGCTTGTAAAAGACAAGAAAATCTATTTTTATCTTTTCTTGAAAGCACAGCTGTAGACCAGAGGGCTCATATAGAGACTGTACCACTGAATTTCACCTTACATCTTCTAGACAGACTTATCTGGGATTCAAGTATCTTGTAATGCAGCCACGTGCAGCAGGATGACCATCGTTTACAATGAATCCCATCTAAGTAAAAAAGCACATATAGCCAACATGCAAACTTTCAGTTTTGTTTTACCAGCAGTTCAGTATTTAGAGCAATATGGGTATCTGAACATGCTCTGCCAACCCCTGACCCAAGGACAACAGGCCCTGGACTTTTGGGGAGCTGTGAGGGACTCACCGGTACATTTTCTGACGATCCTCAAGCTCTTTGCGTCTGTGCTGCTTGAGTATCTGGGTCTTGTCATCCCGGGGGAGCTTTGCTATGTATGGGAGAAAGAAAGAAACAGGGTTATGAGGTTCCTTTATCATCACCCAGGTCTTGAGAAGGAAACTGGTGTTTCAAAGCCTTCCAACTTCTGTCCTAAACCTTTACAAAATTTCTGTGGGAAAAGCTCACACAATCCAGTTTAGTACCTTCAGCTCCTAATGTGGTGCCTAAATTGGTTAAGCTAAGAGCAACTATCTCATCTCTATAGAAAACCTGAGTTCCTAAGGAAGATACTTGGTTTAGATAGCCTCAGTAGGGTCATGGGACTTAATTTCATATTTCAGCATCTAGAAGAATTTTCATCAATCAAAGAAATAATAATATTGCCTTGGACAATGTTGTAAGTTAAACTACAACACTAGGAAATTTCTCCCATCCTCTTTCCTTGAGCTGTACTCTCCCCTGCCAGCCTGAGGCAATAAGCACATTTTCCTGCCATGAGAACAGAAAACCCAGTGAGGCTTCAATTCCAGACAACTTGCATTTCTGACCATTGTACACACCATACTGCTAAATAACAGAGACTTCCTTAGTGATGAAGAGAAAGCACAAGGTACATGACTTGCTTTACATAGGCAAATGGAAAGGCAGATAAAGCCAGCAGGAGTTTTATGGGAATAGCTATTTTGGGTTGGAAATACTGGAGGTAATACAACCAATAATATATACATACATATATATATATACTGCTAACAGTTTCCAGCTGGCTGTGTTTACGGTACCAACAGGGTTTCACTTGCTTTTTTCCTTTATCTGACCATATTCTGAATGCCGTGCAAAGGTCATGGAAGTCTGGGATGTATACAGGGAAAGGGGAAGGAAAGGTGGGAGAATTCTGGCTGCTGCACAGGATGTTTCTCATGGTGCTCACCTCTTCCATCTCGAAGGACAACTTCTTTCTCATCTGTAATCCAACGGTAACATGGGAATTCCAGATAATCGCCCAGTGGTGTTTTGACAGTGACGTGCTTAAGGTACCAGTCATCTTGGTACCAATATTTTCGTTTCTCAATTTTTATTAGCTGAATTTCTCCAAGGTCTTCTTCCACCGTCACGTCATAGGAGTCAACCTACAAAGCAGAAATAGTCAGTGATACACTGCACATGTGGAAAGCAAAGCCAGGACTGTACAAGCACACCTGGCCTTCCTTGTGGCCAGTATGGCATGGCAGCAACAGTACTTTCCTGGTTCCAGTGAGGGAGAAGGACAAGGACAAGAGGAAGGGGAAGGATAAGGTCATAAGTGGATTATATGTTTGCAGTAGAAATGAAAGGTGAATGAAATAAATAAGACCATGTAAAGCACACCAAAAGTGGGGAAACATTTTGCATCTAATCCAAAGACAGTATCACCCCTTGAAATGTTTGCAAGTCTGAGAAAAATCTGCAGACCATGATAGCTTTTGCTACTGCAATAGGCCATAAAGAGGTGTTGATTCAGCAAACCTATTCACACTGCTGCACCGGAAGGATAATCATAGGTTAACACACTGGATGGTGAACTCTTGACTCAATGATGGATATGTCAGCCCCCTCACAAGGCTGGGGTTAACCTTTGTGATCTGTGTGATCTCCTGCTGCATGCAGGAACAGCACTGAGCACACTGCAGTTTTGGTGGTAATTGCACTACTAGGTAATATCAGAACAGAAAGAAATGAATAATCATTTTGCACAGGGCCAATAAGGCCATGTGTAGTGCTAAGCAACTCAGGAGAATGGAAACTGATTCTCAATTTCCAACAATGTGAACAGTTCAGGGCAAAGGAGAGCAGTCAAGTGCTCATTGTAAAAGCTGAACTGCCACAGAAATCCTGAGAGCAGCAGCCACAGCCTGCCTGCTCAGATGACCCTGCTCAGCATAAGGTGTTTACAAGAAGAGGCTGTATTCTCTTGTGGTTTTTCTCAGCACAAGCAACCTTAGAAATACTAACTAGCTGCTGATACTCAAAGGGTGAGATTCACTTTCACTATATGCTGTATATATCCACTATATGCTTCAGTGTCTGCGGGACCCTTTCTACAAGCTATGCATGAATTACTAGCTGTGATGATCATTTTAGGATGAAAGCATCTGTATGTCCACCAAAGTTTGAGATGACAGACCTCAGTTCTCTCATACTCCACCACCTGAAACTACCGCCTTTCATGGCTCATCTAATTGACTCATACAAGTGAGAGAAAAAAGAAAAAAGAAACAAAGAAAGGCTTTGAAATCCGTGCTGCAGATAACAAAACCTTGCCTTTGCCCATCTTTCCCCATGATGTTCGTCAATCAACTTTGAAACTGTTCAGGCTACAATTGATAAACTGCATCTCCGATGAGGCTGCTTCATATCAACAAAGACAAAGGGATTTCTTCTAATGTTCACCCTAACTTCACTTAAAGTCAAATATTTAAAATCAGTCTTGGCGTCACTTACTTTGATTCACTGAGACTTAACAGACTAATCTCAGTCAGAGCCATATTCTTTCCTACACACTTTCCTACTAAAGCCAAAGCCATTGAACATTTTCTTTCAAATAGGAGACTCATCCAGTCTTAAAACAGAATTTGCAATCTTGATGTCAGCAGCATACCTATCCATACAAGGTGGTAGCACATGAAGGAACTGTGCTTCACCAAACAGCATGGCTGTTCTTGGCAAGCCTGGCATGACAGCACCTGCCTGCCAGGCAGGAGCTGGGAGATGAAAATCGCATAGTTGAGATTTCAACTGACATATTAAAATGGTGTCTCTGACTTTTCCTTGCATATCCAAGCAGAACAGAAGTAGTTCTTTCGGTAGAGCCAATATATACACTCATTTTGAGAGTTTACGCTGCTGAATCTTCAGCCCCCACCCCCTTCACTCACACTGTCCCAGAACAGCTAGAAGGATGATGTACACACGTAAATTCATTCCCTCGGTGTTTTAAAAGTTTGAATCAGCTCTGGAGACTGAAAAAACACTGACTGGCTTTTCAGAGAGATCACCACAGTAGTGCTGTGAGCCTCCACTATGGTAGACAGTGACTGTAGGACGTAATCTGTGATCTTGCCCAACATGCCTGACTATATTTTAAAATTTCTCTTCAAATTTTCAGCTAGCTTCCATTAAAAAAAAAAAAAAAAAAAAAAAAAAAATCCTCATTTACACATAACTACTTATATTGTTTCTATAATTTACAAAACCTTACTTTACACAAACTTACATAAGTGTATCTAAGATTTGATGCGATGAAGGTGCAGTAAAGGTGTGGCAAGCTGTGCAGACGGTGCAAGGTTCAAAGAAGCAGGTTGGTTTTTTTTTGTTGCTCAATGGTTTTGTTGCATTTGTGTTATGAGGTACCCTGTTAAACTACATTGCACCGCAGTGTCTGCGCAGTAAACCATAGGAGCTGGGAGTTTTTAAACAATTGGCTTCGGGGAGAGAGAATCACAGAATCACAGAATCACAGAATTGTAGGGGTTGGAAGGGACCTCCAGAGATCATCGAGTCCAACCCCCCTGCCAAAGCAGGTTCCCTACAGTAGGTCGCACAGGTAGGCATCCAGGCAGGTCTTGAACATCTCCAGAGAAGGAGACTCCACCACCTCCCTGGGCAGCCTGTTCCAGTGCTCCGTCACCTCACTGTAAAGAAGTTCTTGCGCATGTTTGTGCGGAACTTCCTATGCTGCAGTTTCTGGCCATTTCCCCTTGTCCTGTCTCCACTCACCACTGAAAAGAGTCCGGCCTCGCCATTCTGCCCCCCACACCTTAGATATTTATAGACCTGGATCAGGTCCCCTCTCAGTCTCCTTTTCTCAAGGCTGAACAGACCCAGTTCACTCAGCCTTTCCTCATAGGGGAGATGCTCCAGGCCCTTCACCATCTTCATGGCCCTCCGCTGGACTCTTTCCAAGAGATCCCTGTCTTTTTTGTACTGGGGAGCCCAGAACTGGACGCAGTACTCCAGATGAGGTCTTACCAAGGCAGAGTAGAGGGGGAGGATCACCTCCTTTGACCTGCTGGCCACGCTCTTTTTAATGCACCCCAGTAAGCCATTGGCCTTTTTGGCCACAAGGGCACACTGCTGGCTCATGGCCAACCTGTCATCCACCAGGACACCCAGGTCCCTTTCCGCAGAGCTCCCCTCCAGCAGCTCATCCCCCAACCTGTACTGGTGCATGCAATTATTCCTCCCCAGATGCAAGACTCTACACTTGCTTTTGTTAAACCTCAGAACAGAGTGAATGAAGGCCGTAAGACTGTCCAAAGTCCCTTAGCAGCCCGTCTGAGCGATTTACCCTTCTGCAAAATTGCAAGCTCTTTCTGGCAGAGAAGCACCTCCTGCTGACCAGCCTAGTGCTGCAAAAGAAGCAACAAACCAGCACACTGCATACACAAAGCCCAAAGCCACACACAACTGTTTTTCTTCTGGAAGTACTGCTGAGTGCGTTTCAGCAAAAAGCAGATGGAAGGGTAACAGGAAGCAGACAGAGAACTGGGGGACACCACGCACTCACACTGAAATTGCTTTGCACCAACAGGAACTTACTCAAAAAATAGTGAGTGAAGAAAAGCAGCTCCAGCTTTCTAAACTGCCCATGTCCAGTGCTTGGAGTAAGTCAGACTGAAACTAAAAGTACACTGGCATTACGAAAGCTCCTTCTGGTTTTCCCACATCCCTTCCCTTCTATCAGCATTTGGCATGCAGATCTGCTCAGAGCTGGTTGGAGACCTCATCCAGCATATCTAGAAAAACTCACTGTTTGCATTAATTCAGATGAAGCCATTCTCAGGATAATGGCACTACTGAGACTGGCCCACCATTTAGTAAAGAAACTGGAAAGTGATAAAGCTTTACAAGATAGTACTCTGGAATTCTGGTTATCAGTGAAAAAAATTGCTTTATTATTATTGTTATTTTTCAAATGTGATCACATATTAATTATTTGGAAGAAAAAGAAAATTGTAGGGATGTTACCAAAATGCCAGAGGCAGAACTGGCTTCAACTGTCACATTTTACAAAGCAACCAACCTGAAAGTCTTACAGTGTGCTTCAGTATTGTTTGCTGGTTTGCTTTTTGTTCCATATCACTACTTTTCTTCTCTTTCCTTCTTTGCAAGGTATATCAGTGAGACTCATGGTGTTCTGGGCACAGTGTTACCTGAACAGGTGCCTGGAGGAATGCACGGCAGTGCCCAAAGAAACACTGCCTGCAGCAGCACAACGCACGTCAAGCATCCTGTAAAGCAGCCATCTTACAGAACACACTACGGGAGGACTGATATGGAAATAATTTGGATAGTAGAAAAAGTCAAGAATTAGTCACCTTTTAGTGGACTTTTGCTGGAACTTGATGATCTTTAGGGTCCCTTCCAACTTAAGCCATTCTATGATTCTACAAAGGAGTGGACGCCCACTGGGGGGATCAAGGGTAACAAGATCTCTGCAATGAATGCTTACTCATGAAAGAAAGTAATTTCAACAGCAGCAACAGGGAGGAACCCACACCTCTGAAATTTCTTTTCCCGGGATGTTTATCCACACATATTTGGGGGCCATATCTGCACACACCATCAACACTAACTTAAAATGCTGTCATTTGCAAGCCATACCTGAGGTGCCCAATCAAGGAAGGACGGATAGCTGGCGCAGGCTGTGCACCCCATGGGTAAAAATGTACCTACAGGCAAGGCAGCACTGTGATGGTGGGGCCAAATTTGTATGCACAGTGGTGGGGCTCATCTCCAAAGCGAATTCAATCATAGAATCATAGAATCAGTTAAGGGCACTTATAAAAAACTTTTCAAGTCTCTTAAATCTCCTTAGATCTCCTGGGAGCTGTGAGTAGGCTACAAATAAAGTACACGTTAAAAAAAAATATTATCAAGAGTCCATTATTTTGAAGTCAGACAATAAACAAATGAGATCCATACTGAAAAGATGGTCGGCGTATAGGAGATAGCAGCTGGGCACAGCACAGCGCACGCGACAGGGTGAGCCCGAGCAGCCCCTCTGACAGCCCAGCGTCAGCCCAGCCCTGTGCCTGGTGCTGTTTTGCAGCTACCATTTAAAGTTGAGATGGAGAGCTCCGAGCCCCGGCTCGCCTGCCCCGATGCCCACCCCCATCCCCGCAGCAGCGGGACGGGCACTGCCGACTGAGCCGGGGCTGTGCGGGCACTCACCGCGCCGCGCTCGAAGTCGTTGTAGAAGGGTTTGTCCAGGAGGTGCCTCTCGCTGCAGCCCGCAGTGCCCTCCAGGCTCAGGTACACATAGTCGTCGGTGCCCGCGAACCACTGGCTGCCCGTAGCCACGGTGACGGTGTAGGACGGCATGGTCCCACCGGCACGGCACGGCACGGCCGAGCCACACAGCTAAGCCTTGTCAAGCCCCCGCCGAGCACCGCCCCGCTGCCCGGCCCGGCCCGGCCCTGCCCACCCGCGCTGTTCCTCTTTATTACTGAATCTCTCCGATCTTGCCAGGCCCCCGCTGCCTCCGCATAGCCGCCTGTAACACAAACTGTGCGCACACACACACACAGCGTTCCCACAAAGCACTGCAAGGATCCCACATTTTTACACTCCCCACCCCGAGTGCAGCGAGCGCCGAACCTGTTTTAATAAAGATGCTAACACTGAGATAAGATCTGCCAGTGCTCCTCTCATGTTCAGCCTACCCCAAGGAAAAGAGCCCCAGAGCACTGATGTTGTACACATGGCACCAATGCACCAAGCCCACTGACGCCACACTCCCGTATTTTCATTAGGCACACATGCAGGCCCTATGCTGGCACCCCCTTAACTCTGTCACACTGCTGCTGCACAGCCCCACGTGGGGAGGAGCTGGGCTGTGGCTTCTGCAGATCCCACTGCACAGCTGCAAGGTTGTTACTGGAGGCTCTGCTTCAGCCTCTAACACCTGCCCATGATGGGTTGTGGCTTGTTCAGTGTGGTCACTGGTGGTGACAGCCTGCAACATCCTCCTCTTTCTCATAAGCATGGCAATAATCATCAGTCTCATCGGAGGTCTCCTATGTCTCTTCCTTTACAGAAACAGCTGCTTGCTATTCTGTGACACCATCAGATATCAAGGCTCCCCCTACATTCAAGATATGCATTTACGTACAGGCATATAGAAAGTGCCTTCATTGGCTCTGCAGAGTTGCTCAGCACAAGTCTCCAGCCTGCTGCTGCTTTTTAAATAGCACCAGCAGTACAAGGCTGCTGCTGCTGCAAGGCACGCCTGCGGCAGCTGAGCTCTGATCTGCCATCCTGAGGCTCAGCCTGCAAGGGGCCTTCCTGCCATCCCTCCCAGGGATGCTCACCCCACAAAAGCCCACTGCAAACTCTTAATCCCTTCCTCGTTCTTGCTTTTTCCATTTGAATAAACCATACTGCCTGTTTCAGATGGCAACAAAGTTAGGCTCATACACCTTTCACTGCAGGAGTTACCTGAAACCTGTTAAGACAGTGATGCTTCACCTGTCAGACACAGGACCACCTTCTGGGCCCCTTCTGTTTTGCTGCAGGTATGGAGCAAAGCACTGCATAAACCTCACTTGGTGGTTTTCCGCATGTCTTTGAGAGTCAGTTCCCCCATCTTGCTCCCCTGGATGTGCAGCTCTGTCTCCTGCTGGGCAGTTCCCTGCAGCACAGCAACTCTTCTTACCAACTCGCTAAAGAAAATGCTCAGTAAGCTCAGAGCTGTGCGCGACACTTGTAGGAGTGTCCTCTTGCCAGCCCTTTCACAATTCACCCTATTTTTAGTCTATTCCTTTGGTATCTTTTGATTTTACCTTGACTTCCATCTTCGGTGATTTATTGCTAAAGGTATTTAATAATGGTGGAATTATCAAATGCTTTGTATCAGGGACCTGCCAAACAAAACGGAGCCTTTATCCAAGAAAATAAAAAAATCCACAACAAAAACCAACCAACCTACCAACAAAAAACAACAACAACAAAACCAACAAAACAACAACAAACAATAAACAAAAAAACCCCAACCCAACCCCAAACAGCCCTTTTACTAAGGGACTACATTACTTCTACCTGTGCCTGGAAGTCTTGTTCTTGAAAGCCAGGGAAATTGCATGGAAATGTGAAATGAAAGGAAAGGAGGGAGCTGCCATGATTGGCCTAGGCCAGCACTGGGCTGAGGGCTCTGGTGGGCTCAGAGAATGGGCTGAGGGAAGAAGGCACAGGGTGCTGTGGGACAGGATGGTAACTCACAGGTCCCCTCCCTCTAAGCACTGCTCATGTTCACTGCACTGAACTTGTCAAGGGAAGGCCATTGCCATCCCTCTCAACCTCCTTACTATGCCCCTGACAAACAAGGTTGTGTTGTGAGGATGTCACGTCCCTTGCAGCTCCCCTGAGGCTGCAGATGATTTGGATGGGCAGATGGCTCCTGGAGTATGCTAATAAAGGATCAGGCTTGGAGAGGAATGATGTAACATGGTAATTACCAGCGATGGAGTTGATTAGCAGAACCTACAGAATTTTCCAGGTTACATAAATAATCTAAGGGACATCGGCTTGATAGCTGAGAGCATACAGGTGCTAATTGTGGCCTCTCCACCGGAGCAGAAAGCAGCAGCTCCTTGCTCACAGACCTGCTGCCATCCCTGCTTGGAGGGTCCACAGATCTACAGGTGCATGAAGCTGAGCACAGTACCCTTGCTCTGCCAGCTAAGAGAAGCAGTAAGGGACTGACATTTGCCTGGTGAAAATGTCCCTAGCCCTGGCTGAAAGGGCAGAGTTTGTGCAGCATCAGCTCCAATCTGAAGTCAAGCAGGTCCAAATTCATCCCTGAAGTAACACCTTTAACTTTTGCCACCACTTGTTTTGACTCAGCTTTGCCAGAAAGCTGAAGAACAGTTGGATTTAATCTTCATCTGATTTCTCTGGTGTGTATCAACTGCTCAGGAGTGGCCACGAATGTTGCATGGTCCTGAAAGTGCTCTCTGGGGATAAAACAAACTGTTCTTGCTGGCAGGAGAAACACTGACTTCAGTAATCCTGTAGTCCCGGAAAAGAATCAGTTTCTTCTAACACAGCACATTCAGAAGCAGGAAGTTAAGCACAAGGACAAGACAAGGGGCAAACCAGACTCCAGGGGAACCTCAGTGCATCCTCAAGAAGGGAACAAAAGTGCTTTCTGAGCTAATTTGGGGTGCACAGGAATGAGGCACATATGAAGCACTACATACATTGCCTAAGGCAGCTGTGCTTTCCCAGTTAGGATCAAGTCTTCGGCCAGAGATATTTCTTACTCTCTCCAAACCCATATGATAACCATTCCCCTTGACAAGGTAAGCTGCTGTCCCCAGCGATGAATACTCCTAAGCATGCCTGGCCTGCCCTGTTTGCAGGTGGCCTTTGAGGAAAGGAGCATCAGAGTAAACCAGCACGGCAAGGGGCTCCCATCAAAAATGACTGGGAGGTTAATTTTAGTGAAGTCTTAAAATGTTAGGAATAGTCAGCCTGATTCCTTGAGCCTCAGAGATTTAGCAAGCACACCCTGAGAGGCGACCTCCCTCCTCTGCTCAGTGCAGCCTCCTGGTTGTTTTATTCTGTTACTTCAAATCCTCTGATGTTAAAGCCTTTGAGACAACTTCATTTAGCCCCTTTACCCTCTCAGCTGAGGTCTCCTCTCTATTTCCAGCTACCAATTCCTCTGTTGCCAACCTTGCCTTTTCCCTAGAATACACTTTAAAAGAGTATTCTTGAAATTTGCCACCTCTTGACCCTCTCTGAGCAATGTTACATTTCCAATTATTCCGCCTTGAGTGATGCACTGAACTTGGTCCATTTCTTTTATCCAGAGCCCTACTGACTTTTTATTTTTACTTCTTCAAACATTCCCTGCCTCCCTCTTGAATTACTTCCAACCCCTGACCCCTGTTTGGCTATGATGAATTATTTTCTCTTCCTGTTTGATTCTTATTCTATAACGAGATATTCTTGTCTGATTTTCTGATGTCATCCACCCCCCCCTAACGCTGTGAATAAACATCTTCTGACTGGTTTGTGGTAACACTGTACCCCATAAATCCCAAAACATCAGATAGCATCCTACGCATCAGAGAATGCAGCCAGATACAAGATTTCCAGGAAAAACTGGGATGGCAGGTTGACACAGAGCTTTAATTGCACAGTGCCAGGTTTGGGTATTTCCACAGTCATCTTTGTGAATCACACAGTGGTATAATTCAGTTCCTCCCAGCTCAGCCTTCTCTGCCCAGTCTTGCCAGAGGCAAATTGAACACTGAGAAAACAATGACAGCAGTGAAAGCGAAGGTGTGTAAGGAAGACGAAGGACATTTGGGTTTCATTTGGTAGAATGAATGGGAAGAGGCACTATGGGTGAACAGGCAAATCTGGTGAGTCGCCCACAGGGCAACTGTGGGAGAAGGGCTGCTGGAGGAGGCACAGTCCCTGCACAGTAGGCAATGCATTGTGCTTCTCATAGCTACTGGCTATATTTGGTCTTTAAAGGCCTGTGCATGCAGCAGGCTTCATCCCTAGAGAAGCTCGGCCGCAAGCCCTCTGTGCTATGCTACCAGCCTCCCCAGCAGCCCACCGGCTATTTCCACGCAATGTAGGGCTCCTCCTCTACAACCTTCCCTTGGCTGTGAACTCCAAAGGCCTGGATACAGCCACTACCATCGCAGCTGGCCTCCCTCCCCTGGACTCCTGACACTGCCATTGCAGAGACGTGATCTCCTCTTCATCCTGTGGGTCCACACATCTGACACCTCCATTGCCTCCAGAAGGCACCCAGTGGATCTTACAAGTCCTGCTGCTGCCCTCCTGCCTTGGTCAGCCTCTCATTCCCAGTCCAGCCCATCACATGACAGTAGCTACTCACCTCATTGCTTCAGCTGCTGGAGTCAGCTAGAAAATTCAGTGCCTGGAGTCACAGCTGTGCCATCTGCTTTAAGCCACGGCTCTGCCTCAAGATGAATACTTCATGTGGTGACAGCAAGACTCCCTCAGAGCAAAGCGAGGTTTGCAAAGGGAACAAGCTATTTTATAATTAACTTGAGATGCCTGAACCCAAGATGAGAAACACCTTTTAACCAGAGGCCAGACAGCTCTACAGTCTCTGCTCATCAAGTAGCCTATCGATGTTCCATCCCAGAGACCATCAGTCAAATAGCAGGCCATAGAAATCATCTTACCATCTCTCCAGGAAGGTATTTTTTGCATGCGGGTCCTGCTGGTGCACCTAGCAAGCTTTATACAAGTACCTTCGTTTACTACAACCAGGCTTGCTTCACTAAGAAATAGCTTTTTCACTTTGCATTGGAAACACCTCCCTAGGGCCGCAGTATTAAAATTCCCTCCTGTTTCCTACCTGAATTAAAATTCAAAACTAGTTACTTACTAAAAATAAAGAAAAAAGAGCCTCTTTGAGACCCACTGTGTCTGCTGCAGACAACTTTGCAGATCTTATTTGCTCTTTAGTGTTTACACACTTGTTACAAGCTGTCTCACAGCAGTGCACATGGCAGTTTTCTTTGATTTATTGGTGATAGAAATCTGTTTATGAAAAACTACTGAAGACTTCACATGCTGGGGCTCAGCCCTGGCATGGAAGCACATGTAACACCATAATCGTGCTTACGCAGGCAGCAACGAAGGGTCATTGTAGTTGCACACTGCTCCACATTTACACAGACTTATTTTTTCTTAGACATTAATCAGTGTAATGAGGATCATGTACTCTGCATCAGTGCCCTGAGAAATGCCAACATCAGACATGAAGCATTCATAGCAACACTCAGCATCGATGCAAGAAGCTCCACGCATTTCAAGGCTTATGGGAATCCTCTCTGCACCTCCCGCGTGGCACAAGCCTGAAACCTCTCCCGTGATTCCCACGCTTGACCCCAAAGCACCTGCACAAAGTCATGCCTTCTCACTGCAGTGATGGAATCATCCACTTATTCTTCATGGTTAACTACCCCTTTATGATTTATGACATCAAACTGTCACAGATCCTACTGTGTGTTGGCATGCTACACTGAAGAGCCATGCAGTCCTGTGTTTGCTCCAGTAAAAGTAACTTGCTTCATTTGATCATCTCTCTATGGGGAGCTCAGCTTCTCTCCAGACTGGGCCACTAACACCTTCTGTAACAAAAATGGATACTATGCTGCTTTTGTTTTGTTCTGATTTTTTTTTTATAGAAACACTTTATTGCTGCAGTCAATAACCCTGTGTATCACACACAAATAACCAATTACAGTTTAAGAAACTAAAAATAATTCTGCAAATGGTAATACTGAGAATAAGAACATACATGAAAGGATACAAAACTATACATTTAAGTTACTAGAAATTTACTAACTAAAAAATCCTGCAGAACTGTGAAGTGTCTTGTATAAACTATACAACACATGCCAGTGTAAAGTTGTTTAACGTTATACAATTACCTATCTACAAATGTTTTACCTAAATACAAGATCAGCTGCAATTTTTAAACAGTTATCTTCTATACAAAGACAAGTGCTTTAAGTACTTCATTGGAATATACAGACACCGCAGTACCTCCAAACTAAAAAATAATCACAAATTAGAAATCCTGTTTAGAAGTTTTCTTTGCATATCCAATACAATGCAGTGAAAACCCAGCCAGCAATAGCTGTGCTTTTGTATTTGCCCTGTTTTACCCCATATTTGCAAGGGACCCAACCCAGACTCACAGACCTCCTTTTCAGCAGTGACCACGACCTACACCAGAAACCTCTGTTAATATGCCCCAGCCTAGGGGAAATTCGGATCCAACTCTCACTTTGTAACATACTCAGCTAGCCAAACGCAGAGCAGAGGAACTTGCTCCTGATGCAGCACCAGCACATGCAGACCAGGTGCTCTGATCAGTGTAGGGAAGTGGCAGGAGGAATGGATGAGTTACCTCTGTACCAGTGTAACCTCTGTTGATTCCCTCCTGCTGAAGCAAAGCCAACCTCAATGACATTCAACCAGATGCCTCTGTCTCCAGGTCTGGCCACCTCTTTAGTCAGCGTATCGGTTTATGGTCAAAAAAGTCCTGAGAATTCATAGGAATTTAACAACTAATGGTCTCTTAGAGTGGAGCAATCTTCTGCAGCACATGCTGTGCTTCTAACATAATGCATGGTCATGACTTGGCAGATGCAGGGAGATTTCCTTGGCATAATCAGTGCTTTTCTGGACAGGATGCAAGTCCATAGCATGGAATTTTGGTCAGATCTCTAGAGCAAAAGCTCTGGCAATCTACAGAAAAGGCTATGGTAGCTAAGTACTAAGAGTACTAAGTCCATACTCCCTCCTATTTTAATTCTTGTCCCAGAGAAGTCCCAGCTAACCTGAACTAATGCTGGCCAAGGAACAAGGACCAAAACAACTCACATTTTGTTTCAGTCATTTCAAAAGCTGCCAAAAGGAAGTTCTGGAATGCCTGATTTGATGTGAGTGGTGTTTTCCATTACCAACATCCAGTTGGGCAGGATGGAGCTCACCCAAGCTAGCACAAGTGCCTTGCAGCTGGAAGCTGAACACAAGTCAACAGAATCTCCTTAGAGAAATAAGAAGGAAAAAGCACCATTCAACCTTCTTATACAATTTGATAGCACCATGTAGAAGCAGAGAACTGTAGCTCCAGAAGCTCCCTGTTAACATTAAGCTAGAATCAGCTCAAGTATGACCAGCTTAAATGACAAGTCCTGGCAGATGCATCTCTTCTGCAGCCCTTCCTAGTATGAGCAATCCTCACTAGTAAAGAGAATTTAAATACTAGGCATTATTTTCTTTTGGGTAAGAGCTACTGGAGAAAGGGGGTGTAGCACTGGCTAAAACAGTTTTTTCTGCAATTATTTTTCCCCAGATGATTTTAATAGGGATATTTTTCTCTTCCTATGACACACAGCGCCACAGCAAAAACATTCAGTGTCCTGAATACACTGAATGCTAATTGGTATATACTGCATAGAGCTTCCAAAATGCCAAATGAGATTTCACAATATTTCATCAAGAATCATTTATGACAGTGATTAAAAAGGACAGGTGTGTTACAATATGCCTTTGTGGCACTGTCAGAACACCAGTCAGACACCGCTGCCTCTCAGATGCAAACTGGAGCACAAACAGGTTTCATACCAGGACTTGTCCCAGGACTTCCATTTCCCCTAAAGTCCACAGATCAGATGAGAATGCATACAGCTGATTCTGTGCATCTTGCAGACATGAAAGCCTTCTGCACTGGGCATTTCAGAAGAAAATTATGAAGGTATGTAAGACCTGATATTAACCTACCTGAGTTTATCCAGTAAATCTTTTTCACAGACCAAAAAAAGATAACAAGACTGAATGTTATCTGGGTTCTTAGAACGGGATCATTCATAGCAAAGGGTCTTAGTAATTGCACTTTAAAACATGATGGGCGTAGACAACAAGCTCTACACGCATATGGTCATGAAGACTGCTGTCCAGTAAGGTGTGCAGGGCTCATCCTACATCACACAAGCATGGTATATCCTGACAACTAGCACAGCATGCAAACCCATGCCAGTGCAGCTATGCTAGGACTGCCTGGAGGTCTGTTTTTCAAGAACAAGGTACTGTGTTGTTCATGAAGAACACAGCCAGGAAGCTTCAAGCATGAGACCATACAGAGGCATGCATGCACACACTCTACTTTCAACAACTCATCGTGTGTGTCCTCTTACCTTAGTCCCATCTCAGGCATTTTTCAAAAAGATTAACATAGAAATAAATAAATAGTATATTATCAGAAGGGAAAAAAAAAAAGGAAAAATCAATGATCTCTCATTTTTTTGGGATATGTTAAAGCAACCACTTTTATTATGAAAAAGTCATGCCCAGTGATGTTGTACTTGAAAAGGATAACGCAAAACCTGAACTGGACCTAGGGATTTAATTCAGTATCTCAACAAGTAAGTAGAGGCTTTTACGTAGCAGAGAAGTCCGGGAGATTCCTATAGACATCATTCAGGAAATTATCATTGACTTTACAGAGATTTAGATTGGGCTCAGGTAGAGAAAGTTAGCATTCATACACAAAAGCCTTGTGTACTGAGTTTCAGTGGGGCTTTGTGTCCACCCCAGTCACACTGATGTGAGACTTCGGTTGAACAAGAGCTCGAAGCTGGACAGTGAAGCAAATCGGACAAGTGAATTGACAGCAGACATCCCAGGCTTTGGGCAAGTCTGTCTAAAGCTCTGCAAACAGATTTTAAAATTGTCCCTCTTTTCATTAAGGCTGACAGATTAAATAGCCAGTCCCAAACTCAAAGCAACAGACAAAGCTATTCTCTGACCATATAACGCATCACATCAGGACTAAAACAGGCAAGTATTTTTTTAAATTCATCCACTTAATGCAATACTTACTTCCTAAATTTTCATCTTAGCACCTCCTCTCACAATGTCAAATTCTTGGGTAATTCACACGTGACACAGTACTAAAGAAAGAAAACCAATTTCATCTGTATTGACTAAATATCTTTCTTCCACAACAGCTCACATTTTCACCAGTATACCAGCAAACCTTTTACCAATGATCTGGAATGACAGTTACGTTAGGTATATATACGGAGATTTGTTGATGGTCTGACCTGTTAAAAACAAAGCAAAAAAGCAAAACCAATCCCTAAAATAGAGCATTCAAACCCTTATTCATTGAAAATGAACACTGTACACATCCACATGTCACGAGTGCAATATCCTTCAAAAAGAATTGCTCCTCAAAGGAAAGCCAAAGAGGCAGATTTTTAGTGTTATGTTTAGTAGGATAATGGGGGCATGTGTTGGAAATCATGCATTGGAATTTATTTTTATTTTTTAAATAAGGCAAGAGGCTTACGTTCTAGTAGAATGGATGGGTTAAAGAACGAAGAAATGTTCTGCAAATGACACATTCTTTCAAGTTTCATTCTCATTGGACATACACATCATAAAATAAAGATTTTTAAAAGTGCTATATGCTTTGTGAGACTCATCACAATATGTAAAGCATAATGTTACACCTCCTGCCTAAGACAAAATGTTAGTGGCAGTGTTAGCGGTAGATTAGACTCTAGCTCTCTCATTTCCTGCGGCATCTGGGACAACCTCCTTCATTATGCTTAAGAAAAACAAACAAACAAACAAAAAAAAACAACCAAACCATACTCTACATGCCTTCCACAATCATTTAGAGTCATATTCTAAAGTAACAGACTCCATATGCAGTTGATGACAGTCCACCAGTGGCTTGCTTGATACCACAACGGAGGCTCATTCTACCCAGATACCTGTGGCTCTTTGATCAGTCAGCACGTGAGACAATGTTGAGAGGTACACAACCATGATAACATTAATAGATATGCTGAAGGGATTTTAAAAAATTCCAACAAAACACAAATGTAAAAAAAGTCATCCGCCAGCCCTCAGCTGTTAGCCGATTTTAAAAAGGTAGAGCAGCTTGCAGTAAACAACGATATTTTAAATCTTCAAGGACATACAGAATTACTCCTCCCACCCAGTAATCAGACGTGAAGGATTTCTGCAGCACAGTCTTCTGGCTCTGTGTAATGTGAAGAGTTTGTATCTGAATGGTGAACCCCAAGCATTTCTTTACTTTCGAAGTTTGGCTCCATTAGTGCAGGTTTTTCAAAAATGTTCTTTTTACTAGTTTCTGGACAGTTTTGTACATATATTACTCGGTTATAAGCTTTAAGTCTCTTCCACAGCTGTACGTACACTTTGCATTGTACATACATGAACAGAAGTCCTCCAGTGAAACCAATAGCCACAACAACCAGCTTAGTCCAAAATGGCCATTCTAGAATCCCTGGAAGAAAGGCAAGAAAAAAAAAAAAAAAGGAATAGAGAAAACATCAGGTCAATACTGAATCTCTCAAGGACACACCTTAAGAGTTCTTACTTTGCTGTTTTTCTTGTTCTCTCTTTTTTTCTCCCTTCAGGTTTAACACACGTAGACTTCTAAGCTTGTTGAGTTCACATAACATATCACTCCTCAAAGAGAAAAAACCCACAAAAACACTTGATCCTTTATGACTAAGCAGTTGTGCAGCACAACCAAGGCAACAGCCAGGTATAAACTTTAGGTCCTTTTATACCTGTTTTTAAAAGAAAATTTAATCAGATTATGAATGGGCTTCTATAGCACGCTTTCCTCTTGAAAGTAAGATATTCAGAGATCTGTTCCACTCTGTGATCACACAATACACACAGCCACAGTCTTTGAAGGGAACCATTGTCACCATTCAGCTTGAGACATTCTTGACACAAAACTGACAATTTGATTACCTGCATAAGACCCAGTAGATTGTAGTTGAACTACAGCATCTCTTCTGATGCAAAATGACAAGTGTTGGAGATGCTGAAGCATTCTGGCAAGCTCACTTGACAAAATAAAAATGACCACCAGTACTTTTCCTGAATATGCCCAGTTTGAACTCCTAGCCATTGGATCTCGTTACATCCCTATAACATACTTTTAAATGAGAAATGACTAATTTTATACATCTTCTGCTTATACACATCCTGTATCCATCCAGTTTCTCTCCTTCTGAAAGATAAGCATCCCCAAGATGGATATGAGATCATGCTGAACTTCTCGTTTTCAGGTTTCTCAGAGAATTAGCAGTGTAACAAAATCATAGCTAAGTCTTCAAAGTTTTTACAAGATACAGGCCACTGTTCTTTTGGAAATGCACAGCAGTGTAGGACGAATGAAAATATTTTAGTCTCCAGACCCAAAGAGCACTGCAACATGACTACTGATGAAATCCCACTAGTGATGAATACCTGGACCTCTGATTCACAGGGGAGCTATCTGATGCCATCTGGAGGCAGCAATAGCCTACGCCTTGCCGTGCAGACATGAATGAATAAACACATGCACGCTGCAGCTCCTCAGAGCATCCTTCAGATTTGGAATCCAAATGAAGGAAGCAAAGAAAGCAGAGTAACAAGTACTATGTAGCCATACTATACCTAGTAATGTTCACCGAATGTATTGAATAAAGTAACAAGGATACAATAAATCTTTGAGAGAAAGTGCTTTTCTTTATCATATGGAAACCTTGCACTGAAAGAACAATTTCCACCATACGTGGAAAAGATGGTGTTGGATGGAACAGAAACTACAAACTTTCATTCAAAGCAGCTTCCTGACTGAAACTATGAACAATCACACCACAGCTAAACTAAACAAATGACAGCAAAGCTGTCTGAAGTGTGACTCTGCTCTACAGAGACTGTAAGAGCTCTGTGGAATTGCACACTTATAGATGCTCATTTCCCAACTGCATTTGAGGTTGGCATTCAGTGCTCTGCTCTGTGAGCAAGGACGGTTCGCCTTAAAACCCAGCCTTGGTGCACAGCCTGTTACTCCAATCCCCACCTTCTGGGGGAGCTCAGCTGCCTGAAAAAACAGTTCTGCAAGAGCTGCAAGTTCACAGCCCGGCACTCCAAAGTCAACCCATTTCAATTTGGTAAGCTCACAGCTGGCACACTGAAGGAAACCTGCTACTCTGGAAGTTAAGACATCCGTGTAGTGATGAATTTCTGAATTTCTCTGCTCCCCACACAACCACTCTAATTTCTTCAGTCAAATGTGTCTCCCGCAGAAAAGTTGTGCTAATATGTCTCAAAGATGGCTGAATAGAAAAAATAAGCCTGTTAGTTTAGCTCAGAGGTTTGGACTTTGGTTCCTGTTCCTTCTTCCCTTTTTTAAAATTGTTCTCTTTCTACTCAGCTAAAGGTAGTCATAGTAGCAAACAGATGCATACATGCTTGTCATCTCAGTAAATGTTCCAGCTTAGAACTAAATTAGCAAAGCCAGTGCAATTTTGTGTTTGGTTACAGTGGTTTTCTCTTGTATCTGTGCATTTCACAAGTGCAAAATTGACACGTAATAGACTTAAAAGAATCTACAGACAAATTTACACCAATTTAACTAAATCACTTTAGAACTGTTCTTTTACATCAACTCAATCTCTGCCTAAAGCTGACTGATCTAAGAAAAAGCATTACCTGCATTCTCAGGTTTTGCATCCTCTCTGCATTCAGGATAAAGAATAATTCCAAATGAGTAAGTAGGAAGACAACCAAGTAACGTACCAGTAGTCTGTCCCTGTTTAATCTCTTCAGCAGTCCTGTCTATGAGGACATACAGAGACCACACAACGCAGGTGATGGCAATGATATGGAATGTTACAGAGCACATGATCTTCCTCCTCTCGCTGGCTGTCATCTGCAGCTTCTCCCACTGGCAAGAAACCCAGAAGCAGAACAAGAGATTAAGTGTTCATCACAGTTACCAGAAAGTATAAAGAGAAAACACTGATCAAAACCAAAAGCAGGCAAAGGACCAGTTTCCCCCTAAGTTTTGTAAGTCACATTATTCTTGCTCTGACCACAGTGTGTGCAGCTGGCAGCTTGCTCTGCCATAATGGGTGCAATCACTCCTGGTGCAGGAGGGGATAACAGCACTCATCTCCCTCCAGAGCTGCAGCACTGAGTTATCCCACAGAGATCCTAGCACAGCTCAAGCAAGTCTGTTCTTTAGTGTATTCGCAAAGCAATGAACAGCAAGCACCCACAGTCAGAAATGAGCATCATGAAGGGCAAAAGGGTGTCATTGCTCAGGCAGCCATTCAGTAACACGCTGCAGCAGGAGTGGTGCACAATCCAATCACCCAGTATGTGTATGGCATCTCACTGTGGGCCATTAGACTATCCCAGTGTGCAGTGAAAGCTGTTTAGCACTCAGCTCAAGGCTGTTTAGTTCTCACCTCCTATCTCTGGAGGCTTTATTCAATCTTCACATTTATTTAACACTACTCAGAGCAGCAACATGGATTTTATTTTCAGTGTTTCAAGTATACTTAAATATGTTCCCTAAGAGTATACAGCAGAACGGGGATGACAGCTTTTACAATTTAAAGGATGCAGCAAATTGAACCCCCCGACCTGCACCTATCATAATGTTTATACAGTCCCAGGAGAAACCACGACATCAGGTCACTGTCGTTTAGAAAGGACACAAAGAAAGAAGGCAGTTACTACAGGTGCTTCAAGTATACAGGGAATTTTTCAGAATCAGCTTTTCTTTACTTTTCTACCAATGGCACCAGGAAATTGTTGGGCTTTTTTTCTTTTTCTTTTTGTCTCCAAAGCAATTTATGTGTATGAAGAAAACTTTTGCAGGTGTGTTGCACATCCCTCATCATATTTGCATGGGACAGTGTTAAGACAAGCTTTCCTTGTATTTCCACAAACTGCATACAGGGGCACATCAGCTTCTCATACATACCTATGTGCTCTAGAGAGGTGCATTTGGTGTCTCCTAGAATAACTTGCAGAAAAAGTTGACTTTGAAAAGTGTGGAAAAGTGTGGAAGATAATGAGGATGACCTTAATGAGATCACTCATCAGGTTGAATCATTGTTACCACTGCTGCAAATACAAGAATGGTTGAACCATAAAACAGGGATTCTGTGATATTCTCTGTCTTGCCAACAAGCAAGTAAGTCACAGCCACATTTCTGTATCAGTGGACATCCAAATCTCATCATGGCAGAAGAACAGAAGATTTCCAGCAGTGATATACCAACACATATCATGCTAGAAAACTACACACTTTCAATTATTGTTACAAAAAGACTGGACAAAACTTTTGCTTTGGACAATATGTTTTAAATAGGAAATGGATTTTGCATCTAAACAATGGTGTTCATTATCTACAGAAAATACAATTTGATTCATTTATTCTGTCAAAGTGTAAGCATGTGTGAATATTCTTACAGGGCCACAAGGACTTGCATTTTGACTGTATTCCTCTTTTTTGTTTTGCAGGTAGAGATCTTCCACTGGACTCTTACTTCTCTTATTATATGCTGGCATCACAGCTGCCAAACCATCCCATACCACTTCATCTTTCCAAAGACAGGAGTGCACAGCAGAGGAGCTATTCTGCTAGTTTGATTCTGCCATAGCCCAGAGAGGAAACAAGAGAGGACCCAGAGGTCCATGCTGCATTATTCTTATGACACAGCAAGCAACATTTCACAATTTAATAAGCCAGCATTTCTATCAAATCTACAGAACTTTTAGGTTTTATTTCTTTGTTTTGTTTTCATTTGAATTATAAAATAGAGACTCCCGCTCTTGTCTCCCCTCACTTCCACTTGTACCGTGATGCAGTTTGCTCCTCACTCTCTTCCCCTTATAACTTAACGTTTGAACATAAGACAGACCAATATGCAGTGATGCAATACAGCCTTAAGACTTTGAGGATGCTAAATTTCATTTCTGCCCTGCAGACAAGCACAAGCCCTATTATTTGTTCCATCCTGTCCGTAATCACCAGTTCCAGACAGTTTTGTCCTGACTGACAGGATATGATAAAGGATCAGCTGAAGACACAGCTTGTCTTCTGGCTGCAGCTGAACCTTTAAAGGACCCTTCAGACATATTTGAAAGGTAAATTCTTTCTTATCCTTCTACTTATGGCTCAGCCCCCACCTCCTGGCATGTGGTCTCTCTCCAATAGATGACCTGTTCAGATATAACTACTGATGCCGAATGACTCATTTCTGAAGGTGCCCAACAGCTTTTTCTCACCGTGTATCAATATGCAGGAAATGCTTCCCGCCCACTCCAGGCAGGGTGAGCACGGAAAAATCAGCAGCTAACCATCACCTATGGCAAGTCTTTTTATTTGGGCTCCTCCAATTTCTTTCACATCCTACAGATGGGCTGTGCAGTTCTGTCTGCGTGATAGCAGAGCCTGTGGCAGCCATAACTGCAGCTCCGAGCTACTATGCTCTGTGCTAAGAGGCTACCAAAGAAAAAGCTACAGCTTAGATGGCAGCGCTTCTCTGCTGTCATAAGCAGAGGTTGTGCTGTCAACATTACATCCTCTGCTATATACTTTGTGGACCGTAGATCTCCATTAAGAAAAAATAAATAAATCAAAACCAATAAAGAGTTTGAAATCTGCTCTATTTTCTGTTAGGATTCACTTTTAGAAGTCAGACAAGTTCTCACAGCAGCTTTCAGATGGCTGCAGTCTGGACTTCCCATCCCTTGTCATTTAGAATAATCAATAATTGAATGTTTCTCAGTTACTATAGTTCTAGACTGAAATTATTGCTGTTAACATCTTCCACAGCAAGATTTGTCTGTGGTAAGAACACCAGTGACTTTCACTTCAGAATCCTGATGGTAAGGACCAACTGAATTCGAACGCCTAGCAAATGTGGGAGAACAAAATTGGTCTTACAAGACACAAAGGTATCTAAGTTCTCAATCACCAGACTTGGGAAAGGTAATTTGTTTATAAAACAAAACAGGTCATAGCAGCCCCAAGTACTAAAACCTGATCATACATAATCTAAGAAAAGGTAAAAGTGAAAACATTTATCAGTGAACATCCTTCTACTTACACTAAAATAGGTATGCTCCTTAAAAAAAAAAAAAAAAAAAAAAAAAAGCTAAAATTTCAATCAATTTACATTTACATTCAGAACATAAGATTTAAAGTAACTTTAAACTGAGATCTTCATATTTTCAAGAGACTTTAAAAGCCATGTGGATCTCAGCACAGCAAACCAAAGCAGACAGCAGTAATACAAAACACAATATTTCCAGAGAAACAGCATGGATAACTGGAAAGCAAATGCCTTTGTGCACCAGCTCTGAAAACCAACTGTGAAAAAATCAGGCTGCTGCATGCACATATGCATGAGCGTGAGTGTACATGAGTGCATTTACAGAGAGCACTGCTGGGCTGTACTAAATCTATATTTTACACGCAGGACAATGTAAAGGGAGGAAGGACTGAGACTCATTTCTCACTTGGGCAGTTGATGAATTCTTGAAGCAGAATTATCTTGACAATGGTCAGAGCAGGAAAATACCACTTCTCAGAGCTGGACTCCACTGATGCTAAATTTATGAAGCTGAGTGTTAGACAACTGAAATCGTTCAGCACCTATACAAAACTGACCAGAATTACTAAGGAGCCACCAAATTGGTTCTGTGGGATTGTGGGCAATGACAGCCTCTTTTCTGCACAGATGTATGTTTAACAAAGCCTACCTTTCGCAAAGGCTTCAGCTTTGTCTCCATGATGAACTCATACTTGCAGAGTTCGCAGCATCGTGTATCTGAGCTCTTGATCCACTGCTGCAAGCAGGCTTGGTGCACAAAATGAAGACTTCCCGTGCAGTGACAGGGGGTAATCAAAGGGCTCTCATCATCTCCTTCACAGTGACATATCCTGAATCAGAAGCAAAGCTGCTCATTAGAAGAAGAGGAAGCAGAAAGCATGTGGAAGAAGAGGCATGTAATATCTGTGATCACACATGGTTATCTGTTGATGATCCTAAGACACACGCATCAAAGGAATGTATTCTATAAAGGAGCTAAAACTAAAGAACTGCCTTGCTACACAAACACATACACAAAATATTTGAGCACAGACACTGCTAACTAGACAGTTGCCTTCTAACAGATGAGGTGGACACACAGAGCCCGACAGAAATTTAGTACCCAAAAGAAAAAATAAAAAGTGTGAGAAATGACAATCCTTCATCTACTAGAACAATAGCACTTAACTGAAAACAGCATCTAAACAGATTCGACTGCACTTCCCAAGACCAAGTATGCACAGAGAGGTACTCATGAATTAGAATGTAATGCAGAAGATGAAACAAAATTCCCAAAGGAACTGTGAACCAGCCCAACCCAGTATCATGGAGAGTTAATTTGGTCCAAATTTTGCACAAGGGAAATGATTATTTCTAGTGCCAAATGCTAAGAGACAGAACCACACTGCAAAGACACAGCATCCATTTTCCCCAAATACACCTACTTTAAAAGGACTAATGGCTTTGCTCTTCCAATTCCTTTTTTTTTTTTTGCAAAAGTTGCTAAGGAAGCACCAGCTCTGCAAAATTCCCAGCTTCCCTCACCGTCTAACTGCAAATAGCAAGGACACCTGACACAGTGCTACTACCAGGTGCTGGCATTTGATTTCCAGCTTCAATTTACGCACAGCACTTGGGCTGCATCAGACATCAATCACTAAGTCCTTCTAACCATGTGGAAGAGGTCAGGAACTGAAAAGGGGATGGTAAGGAGCTCGGGGAATGAATATAAGTTACTAAGCATATGTGAAGCACATCCTGGCATGCTGCCATCCCTGTCTGTTACTGAAATCTTTCACTGATGTGTAGCATCTTGCCTCTTGTGACCTTGCTGATAGCTGGCAAGTGGGACTGAACTAATGGGTGGATTAAAAGAGCATCTTGTTGATGACAAGCAAGTAACAAACTAGAATTTGCTGGTAATGGGGTATTGAGGAAATAAAAAATTACTGGCAGGTATTAACAAAGTCAGCTTCAGAAAGCAGTGTCAAAGAGGAGAAAGATTAAGATAGGAAAATGCTTGGTAGAAGGATGTGACAGTTACTCCTATGCTTGGCATCTCCTGCTCCCCAGACTTATTCAGAAGCTGCGATGGGGCAGGCCTGCAGACAATTTACCACAAAACAGTCCAGAGCTGTGTGTTCCTTTCACCTACGTAAATAGCTAATCCTCTGTATCTGGAACAAGGAGATCCCATCTTTTTTGGACCTCACACTACTCACTAATCATCACTAATAACCAATGCTTAGTTCTCTCTTTCATCTTAACCATTTAGAAATGGGGAGGTAAAGGTTAAGAAATAACCTTAGGCTATATTGACCAGAACTCAAAACCAACGTTCTGTTGCCTATGCTCTGACAAACTCAGCAGTGGCTGTCTGGAAAACACATTGCTTGTTAAAAGCTAAGAAATTTTCAGCTTGGTTTTTACTATGTGTAACTGATTCTCTCATAATATTCCCAGTTTGGGCAAGGATGAAAGAAAAATGCGATCTCAGAACCCCAAATCTGAAACGAATTGCAGAAGAATTTATTTGACTCCCAAGGATATGCTTTGGCTTAGCAGACTTGTTAAGTGCGTCAGAGGGGTGCAGGAAAGCAGAGAGAAGGTTGCATGCTTCACATTGCACATATTAAAGCAAGGTGACAGGGTGGAGAAAAAAAAAAAAAAAAAAAAAAAAGACAAACAGCACAAAGGCAGGGAAAGCAGAATGGTCACCACTGCACACAGGAAGGCTTGAAAGGGAGGTTCTCCGACGCACCAACCTGCAGGTATCCCCCGATGCAGACACCGGGGAGAGAGGGGGGAATTTTTCTGAGAGGGGGGAAGGGCAGTCAAGGTCACTGTCCTTCTCAACCGAACAGAGTGGTGCCCGCTGCTCTTTTGTTCTCAGTTTCATTGAGGTGCTGTCCTCAAAGACGTCATCATCTCCCATGTCCTCAGAGCAGAAGTCTGTGCTTTCCACCAGCATGCTGGAGGATTTCTCAGCTTGGAAGTGACTGGAATAGCTCTCCAGTTCGTGGAACTTATGCAGACTGCTGGTGCTGGAGGTGTGGGAGAAGGAAAAAAGGTAACGCAACAGTTTTTTGCTTCTTGAGGTGTCATGGTCCACTCTGTCCTCCAGCAAGGGGATATGTACAGCGCTGCGGTTTTCTGCTCCTCCTGATGCACTCGAATAGTTGGAAAGGGAAGGGATGTAGGAGTGTTTAGAATTGCTAAAAGAAAGAGGCCTGAGATTCAGCGATTTCCTCTCTTTAAGATGAAATTTGTTAATCTTCAAACACTGCTCTTGAGTCGGGGTCAATTTGCCTTCCGAGCATGTTCGCTCCACGTAGTCAAAGCACTCACCGGTGCTCTGTGCCTTCTGGTCCACGTCATTGAGGGACTTGGAGAATTTCAGAGTGCGGGTGGGCTTTCCATTCTTAGCAGCCCTGAGCGCCTGGCCCCGATCCTGCCCATGGGAGTTTCTCTTTGCTGCATGTAACGTGTCCTGACAGATTACTGTCACAGTGACCCCTTGTGTCAGAGAACTCTGGCAGTGAGGATCTTTCAAGACAACAGCAGACTGCACTGGACTGTGATGACAACATTCAGAAAACACTGCACTGGAACTGCATGCAGAACAGTGGAATAAAAAGCACAGAAAGTAAAAAAAAACAATTACATAAGAGAACACATATAATTAAAAGTGAAGAAATGAGAATTACAGCTAGTGTGGGAATGGCAAACACAGCGGGCCAGTCAGTGGGATTCAATGAAGCAGTGTTAGATAGCAGTTGAGTCAAACAAATGGAACGCTTCAGACCAGAACCCCATGTTGCTTACTTCCCCATCCATATGCTTTTTCAGTTTTGGTTTTTCTTAAATGAAGCTTGCACAAGCCTCACTGTAGCTATGCAAACAGGACAATTTACCTGCAGATGTCCTGGTTGGATGGCGTAACAGAAGTCCGAGAGAAGCTATGGGGAGCTGTGATAGAGGTTGGACTTCCAGCCTGCAGTGACATAAAAATAAAGGGGAAAAAAAAACAGACACAAAAAAAAAAGCAAGTCAGAAGTCGGAAAAATTCTGTAGGCACAGCAGTCACCTTCAGGGTTGAACACAGCATATAGAGTCAGATAACACTCTACATCAGATATTCAAGGGCTGGTTGCAAGAAAGTGAGGTGTCATTGTCAAGCACTAAGAAGGAAGGTTGTCACAGCCTCATCCTTGGAAAAACAGAGATCGGAACAGAAACATTTTTCCCCAAGGTCAGATGCAGCCATCTCTGGAGCGGAACCTGCCAGCTGTCAGACATCGCACGGAACAACCGCTCAGGAAATGAGCAATGCTACAGTAATTAGCATAATTAGATGGAGGTGTGTATGCAGACTAGTTGTAATTTAGCTACCACCTAATAGCTAATCCTTCCACTTACAACAATGACAAGAGATTAGGAGCTTTTTTTTTTCTTTTTTCTTTTTTCCACAAGACACAGAGACTATTTATAGAGGAGGTAGTTTCAGCACTGGCATATACACATAAGCACCATCTGCCAAACCAGACCCTTCCCTGAAGTACTCATTGTATTTCACGAGGCCTTTCACCCCCTCCTATCTCAACAGGGCCTTCCACCTCCTTGCAGGAAAGCTGTAATGGTAGCCACATTCATGCGACCACAGTGTGAAATCAAATAGGTGTAGAATTCAGAATTCAGCTGAAATCAAAAAAGCTAAGCTCTTTGGCTTATGCAGCACTTAAGAAACAAGCTTCTAAAGTCAATATGGTAATAACCATCTTGACAGCCTACTATTACAGGCCTTTTTGCTGCTGTATGTTGTGAGCGTCAAACTGAAACTTCAGAACACTTCCCAAAGGTTTTACTGAGGAGGGATATGTTCATAACCCCTTAATGGGCAGAGAATCTCTAAACCCATTTCTTCCACACTCTACAGCTGCTGGATATGCCGTGCAGCTCACTTACGCCCGCAAAACATTGCTCCCATTTCCCAGTTCAAACACAGGTTTACGGTTCTTCTGATCAGTCGAGTAAAGCTTGCAAACCATGAAGGTGCTCCAACAGCAGTGGAGAGCAACGTTCCTGGTATTGCATCAGGATGTCTCAGGTGTGTGAGCATGAAAAACCAGGTATCCACTTACAACTGGGCCAACAGGGGCCAAAGGTGAGGCTCAAACACACACCTCTCAACCTGCAGCAAGGCGCTGTGGCTTTCCCATCCCAGCCAGCTAGGTTTATATACAGAATAAAAAAAGCAGGATAACCATGCTCCAAAAAGCAAACTGAACAATGTCACGACTGACAAAACAAATTAAACAGGTAAAGATAGGTTTGGGCTTTATCCTGGAAAGCATCATCCTTACATTTTACACCACTTGGGCATGCTAATGGCATAGGACTGATCATACAGTGAGGTGAATTCAGCTATTATTTGGAATTATTCTTCTTGCTGTTTAACCTATTCTAAAAGCAGGCACATCTCTGACTAAAACCCATCTCTTAAAAAGAGTGCAGTAATTACTTTTGTAAAAAGAAAGACAGGTTAGTGAAAGAGCTGACACTATAATCTGCTGCTGTAATTATGCAAATGAAAATTAATGTGACTTAAGTAATGAATTATTTAAAAAGACATATTTAGCAATCTGCTAAAAACAAAATATTGAACCAGTAAAAAAACCACGTTATATTCTGCCATGGAAACAGAGCAATATATTATTGGAACTGCAGTCACAAATCAGTTAATACATCTGTCTCAGGTTTTCTGTTACAAGCAAATCACAGAAGGTATTCTGCTTATAAAGAATCCACTTTCTTTACTGTTTCATTTCAGAAATGAAGCATTCCAAAAAAGACAGACGTGCATACAATGTGACAGTCTAATAGCAGATGACTAGATTCAATGAACCAAAATTTCCTTCTGAACCCACATTACTGGTTTCTTGATCCAACTGCCTGGCACCAAGACAGCATGTCAAAGTCTCATTGCTTGGAACATCAAAAAGCTGGGACAAGGAAGAAACAGTGAAATTGCATTTGTATTTCAAAATCACTGTGTCTAGATGCCAGCACTGCTCAGGCAGCTTGACAGAAGTAAAAAAATAATTACAAAACCATCTGAAGCAACTTTCCTTTTCCTCCCACCTTCCTTTTTCATGTATATAAGAGGCCTTTTACGCCATCTTTAGACTAAATGTAAATGCAACCAAAAAATGAAAACCAGTTAACAAACATGAAAAGGCAGCACAAAGTAGAAGAACAAAACGTTGGAGGAAGCTATGCCCCATCCTCAGCTGAAGCTGATGTCAGTAGTGGCTACCACTGATGGCCATGGTTCAACTCACCTCTTCTCATACTCTGCTCCTCTCATGCTTTTCCTTGTGAAACTATTTACACAGTTGCGCTGCACATCAAATAGGATACTGAGGTGAGACAGAACAAAGCACTTATTTTCTTGCACTTGTTTAATGTCAGTCATTTCCCTAGCTGCATTTGCCAGAGGACATTAGCTGGTTACAGCAATGAGCCTGTAATGGTGAGACACAGCTTGTCAACAAGAGAAGAATGCAGTAAAATGCAAGCTGTTGCCCAGAATCCAACATGCAAAAAAAGCCACGAAAAGAAGAAAGGAAGAAATACTGGCAGCCTAGGGCCACAACATGACATAGAGGTGATGTGATGGTTGAATGTAGCAGAGAGCTTGCTTGGAGTCCTGACTGTTCTCCCATGCAAGGCTTAGCTCCAAAGAGGCCAGGAAAAGGAGCAAAGCCTTTACCACCATCCTTACTGATCCAGCCTCACAAGTAGTAGCACCTTTGGGTAAGCTTCTTATGATGTTGACAGCAGTCATAGGTTTTAAAGCAGTCCTTATCATAGCGGTTTCTGCTATGTTTGTTAACTGACAGACATCCTAAGCTTGAATTCAACCCTTCTAACCTCAGAATCACTCACTAAATCTCTGTGGATATTCATGCCCTTCACAATGGATAACTATTACCTCTAACAAGAAGTCCTAGGAGCTACATGCCGGTGAATTACTCTGTACAGCCAGAATGGTGGCCTAAAATAGCTCGGAACTAAAGGTCAATAGTTAGTTAATTGTTTCCACTGACATTCCCATCTAACGCAATTCAGTGAGGTCACAGTGTGGCTCTCTCCCCTCTGGTTCTGGGATAATCACAGGAAGCCCACAGCTCTACAGTGCTGCCATCAAGATACATACATGAACATGTGTTTATGCTGGCATAGCTGGTTGTTCTCATTTATGCCCCACTCTGCAAACTGTGATCCCTTGGTAAAAGAACTTGGTCTCTTCCAATGGTCTACTGCTGACTACCTGCAGCACACCTGAAAACAAAAATACCCACCCTGCCTCAAAAAATGATATCATCTTTGAAGTAAGTCACAGTGAACAAGTCATCGGCTTGAGCGTATTCCAAAATAACCTGCTCATCTGAGATGGTGCTTCTGGGTATATCTTCTGTCGTCTCAGTCTCAGCTGTGCTTCAGTACAAGTAATTACACATCTTAAAGAACGGGGCATGAGACATTTTAACAACCTTATTACACTTCCTCCACTGATGGGAAGTCCGGAAGAAGTAAAGAAAGTTTTTCCTCAACACAGAATCGCAAACCTTACCCTTTTTAGGTGCCACATAAGTAGCACCAACACTGTGGCCCTAATATCCAGGCTACAAAAGCATCTCTAGAACTCTCAGCTAGGGACCTGGTGACTAACATACTTCCCACTATACACATATTATAATAGAGTACACCTCTCCTTTGCCATACAACTGACATTAAGGCAGACAAAGAGTTACAGATAGCAGCATAATTTTAAGCCTTTTATTGGGAGGAGGTGCAGCACAAGGAGCTTCAAAGAACTACAAAAGTAACAATAGTGCATTTAAACACAATACAACCCACATTTCAACATGGAATTCTGATTACTGGTTTGCCTTAATTTTAAACAGTGATGAACCCCTTTCAAAACTACTCACTTTTGATGAACTTAAAAAAAATAAAATAAAATAAAAGAAAGCTTAAGAAGGTAGTTGCATGTACTGTCAAACAGACCGAGGGTACAACATGTGCCGTGTACCAACAGACTATGGCAGCAGTTTGTCTGACTCCTTCCTGTAAGAACAGTAGAAGTACAGTGACCTCCTTTGCTGAGCCAACTCTAACTAGAAGCAGACCCTCAGGGGGCTTATGGAGACACAGGTAATCACTGCAGGTGTTGGCTTAGGGGAGACATCTACCACCACTGCTTTGGAGTCATCTGTCTTCCAAGAACAGTCAGGTACCTAGCCCACCCCAATGACCCAGAGGCTGTGATGCTTTTCAGCATGCAGTGCTGAGGTCTGTGATGGGCCACTGGGAGTTCTGTTTGAATCCAATTCATCTCTGCTGGCATTAACGCATCACAACGATGAATGTGGTAGAACCACAGAGGAAAGACAGAGGGATGGTTTTCACACTGTATTTCAGAAGAACTCATTACCAAAAAGCTGTTTTATTTGTCTTGCACAGACGCCACTTAAACATGTATTAAAAAGGCAGGGCTGCCGCTAGACGTGGACATGACCGACACTTATCTTGCGTGCATCTCCAGAGGCAATGAAATCCTCATGCTCTGCTGCCTCCTTAGTTTACACCATGGAAACCAGGAACAATCATCCCACATCTGTTCCCTGGCAGGATCTAGGAACAGTCAGTGAAATCAGGAGAGAAAACAGAAGTGGGGACTTGGTGAAAAAGAAGCACTAAGTGCAACTGTAGCTCCATAGCTACAATGTAACTCCATGTAACTCCATGTACAATGTAACAAATGTAACTCCATAGCTAACTGGGCAATTCTTCAGGTACTTAAACAACTATTAAGAGTCACAGGGAATGTGACTATTATTCTTCAAGAAAGAGACATCATATTGCATGCCACACAACTGCTGGATGTGGGCCACTTCTACACCATTCTCCTGCTCCAGCCGTCCACCT